TTAGGTTGGCATTTAGACCATAGCTACTCTTTCCATTTACTGATGGTAAATTAAACAACAGAAAAACATCCAGTAAATTATGATTTTAGTTTAAAAAAAAAATGTTCAACAAAAGCAAATAGGTAAAATAACTTCTGTGTAGAGTTATGTTAGGTTAAATGTTAAATTCAATCAATATGGCCAAATCTGCTTAACTGTAACTGTTTTACTGTTTTATCTCTCCACATTTTGCAGTCCCAAAACAAAATAAATGAGGACGCTATCACAGGATTCCTCCTCCAAGGCCTTGAAAAACAAAAAAGCACAGAATGTGGAGAGGTACAAAAATACACTAAATACCAGGAATGTAAAAATAGAAGCTTTTCATTCAAATTCATTAAAAATTAAAATGATTTAGGTAAGCATACCTCAACCTAAAAACAAACTGTAGGCTTTTTTTTTTTTTTTTTTTTTTGCATGTCCAGCTCCTGACTGATGTTCATGTCCACATGGCGACTGTGGACCTTCTGATTGGGGGAACAGAGACCACAGCAGCCTGGCTCAATTGGACTGTGGCCTTCCTGCTACACAGACCGGAGGCATAGGAAACTATAAATATTGATATTTCTACAGCATACCTTTAATATATTTAACAGATTACATACGTCTCTCGTCTGTTATTTTCCATGCCCCAGGTGCAGACCAGCGTATATGAGGAGCTTTGCACAGTTTTAGAGGAGCGGTATCCAAAATACAGCGACAGACACAGGCTCCCTATGCTGTCCTCTCTTATCAGTGAGATGCTCAGACTGAGGCCGGTTGCTCCTTTGGCCGTCCCACACAGAGCCATCAGGGACAGCAGGTCAGCTCAGAAACAGTGACTAAATGTGCCCCAGTGCATTGTTTTAATTTGGATTCATAAAGGGATTAAAAGTTCAGCAATTTCATTTTGGTATGTATTCATACATTTTCCAATTCAGTGATCACAAGTACAGCAATGGATTTATTTATTTCTTTTTTACAGATAGATTTTGTTGAATTACATAATCTAATTTGAAAATCATTACATGTCCTTCCTATTTTTAAGAGCAGCCAATGAAAATAGAGCTCTGTTGCGCCATCTTTACTGATCTTATAAGAGGTTTTAATAATCTTTTCCTAAATAGTAGAGTTGTTGCTGCAATGATAGACTCTTATTTTTTTTAGGACAATTTAAGATATTGCAGGGGGTGTAAAAAAATGTGAAGGGCACTTTGTATTAAGTTTTGAAACTCAGCACATGTATCTTCTTATTAAATCTTACCTGCTTCTGTCTCCTTGAACCCCAGTCGGCCTCTGCAGATGGCCGCTCATACTGAGTCTGGTTCTGCTGGAGGTTTCTTCCTGTTAAAAGGGAGTTTTTCCTCTCCACTGTCATGAGAGGATCCCTTCATTGACTCAGAGAGATTGCCTTCGAGTCAATGAGTCGATGCAATCAAGAGGTTTTCTTGAGGCAGAAAACTGAATCGATTTGACTGTATGATCTGGTTGAATTGTAAAGTGCCTTGAGATGACGCTATGTAAATAAACTGAATTGAATTGAATTATTAAAGGCACATTTTCTGCAGCTTTTGACATTTTAGTTGCCAATGATTTCAAACTTATCTCCAGCATTGCAGGTTATTTCATCCCTAAGAACACAGTCATCATTCCTAATCTTTTTGGAGCTCATCATGATCCCACCGTTTGGTCTGAGCCATACAGCTTCAAACCAGGTACAGTTTTAGTCCCCAGCGAAGGTTTTTTGTTGTTGTTGTTTTTTGTTTTTCTCAGCTCACTCAGCAGTTTTATTTCTATTATTTTAATTTTTTTCAGAGCGCTTTCTGAAGGGAGGAGATGGCTCTACCCGCTGCCTATTGCCTTTCGGAGGTGGTGCACGGCTCTGCCTGGGGGAGTCTGTCGCCAAAATTGAGCTTTTTCTGTTTACTGCTTACTTGCTCAGAGATTTCCAGTTTGTCCTTCCTCAGGGTGAAAACTCCCTTCCTGACCTCAGGGGGGTTGCCAGTGTTGTGCTTAAAATCAAGGCCTACAAAGTCATTGCCCTTCCCAGGCCTTAAACCTGTCCTTGGACAATACTGTGCACACATGACATTGTTAATGTTTTATTTTTGTTGCATTTGAGGTTTTAAATAAATTCAACACGAGGAACCAACTTTTTGAATCAACAGAAAGATTGAAATGTCTTATTTTAACTTTTTTTTGGCAATGCACATGCAGCCTTATGCACCTGGTTTTGAATAGGCTACCTTAATTTTCAAGCTATGATATCACCACCTAGTGGAGAAACATTTCACATGCGTTTTACTCACCACTGCATCGTCATTGGGCTTAATGGTTATCCTATAAAGACGAATAAACTTAAGTCATACGTAAAAAAAAAAAAAGTATACCTTCAAAAGTCACAAGTTTAAATACGCTAGAAACATTTATAGAAGCATACAAAAATTAATTCCTGTCAAATAATCTGACCAAATAGAAAAAATAACTATATTAATCAGACCCATCTTCTTTACAACAGGTTACCAATATAATTTTTAAAAGATGCATTAAAAGAAACTGTTTGTCCCTAGTTTTTTTTTTTTTTTTTTATGCTTCTATATCAATATTCAATACTTTTTGAAGGATGAAGCCAGGATGTTGTGTGTACCTTTTCTTATTTTGTTTCTGTTACTGGCACATCATCTCATTTGATAAAATGTTTTGGTGCTTTAAACTGTTGGTTTTTACCTGTTTGACACCAGTGAACAGTATAGTTTAGAAAAAATATATTCTTTGTTCTGGAGTCCCTTATAGTTGCTATTCTTGCAGATTCTGATCTAGAAGTGAACTGATTTTTTTTCACCTAACGAACAGCTTTGTCAAGGTTTCAGGTTTTTCTTATTATATAAAAAGCTTTTGTTTGATTTAATTTTACTCATACATAGTTAACAGTTAAAAACCTCAATTCTTCTTTTGTACTATAAAGCGTTAATGCTGTCCTGACATACCATTTACTTTACATACCAAAACTATACTTCAAGACAAAGTGAGTAATCATTCGTGAAGTAATGGGACATTCCTATCGCAATAATTATAGCTCCCAAAGCATACCGTTCAATTACTAAAAGATAATTAGCTGATGTTTGTCAAAGTAGAGTAAGCTCACTATATGGTTTACATTCCATTGAATCCTGTACCTTGATACACTGGGCCATGAACTTTATAGAGGAGGATAATTTAGGGTAGAAACATCTGAAAGAGCGACATCTTCAAATAATAACAGCAGATCCCACTTACTGAAGGATTTCTCCCTGGAGGTGACTAATAGGAGACCTACTGATGCCCAGTCTTGAATCTGTGGTAGAGGAGTCTTAAAATCATGGGTATCACTTTGGTTTTCTGATCCATTAGTATTGTGGTTGCACACCATCGAAGCCTTAAAGTAAATAATAATTCAATGTTTATTATTCAACAATTGTTGAGAGACCATTCCCAGCAGAGGGCACAGTTGAGCTTACAGTATCATTTGATACATTAGAGGATATGTCCCCCACAAAAAAAAAAAAAAGAAAGAAAGAAAGAAAAACGGCACAGACATGCATATCAAAACTGACAAATGGGGATTATTTACCTATAAATGGTAAAAGATTCACTCTTGAAAGCCATCAAAACTGTTGACCACCAAAAAACCTACCCACCCTCACAGACCATTGGAATGCCAAGTAACACAGAAGGATGTGGTTAAAGTAAACTTCAGTTATAACCCAAGTGTGAAGAGGCTATTTATTGCTCTAAGAAATTAAAATGGGTTTAATCTGTAAAAAGGTTAAGTTCTGTTTTCTTTTCTGGACCTAAGGAAATGATTGCTGCAATTGATGAGTCAGTGTCACATCTTCCTCTCTCAGACTTGGAGAGCATAGTGGGCTTTGAATTAAAGAAAATACACTGATATTACCTGAGAAAGCCTAAATACATGTTTTTTGTGCGTCTAAACAATTTCAGTCAGCAAACTGAGTCATTTGCATATTTAAGTCTAAAGATTCCATAATTTAATGCTGCACACCCTTGATGGTGGAAAAAGAATCAGAGACTCTGATAGCTATGAAAAACTTTAAACATATGGCTAGAAAAATAATGTGGGCCATTTGTTTTAGCCATATAGTAATAGATGCAGCCTTAGTAGGAATTTGCATAAAGGCCACATTAAATGGAAACAAGCAGTGACACACAAAGTGCATTTGATTGATTAAATGCTCATCTAAGCTGTCAAAATTAAAAAATATTTTGAGAGCAAGTGGGAAAAATAATACAAAATCAATTATTTATTTTCAAATTTTAATGTAGCTAATGTATAATAAAGCTTAACCAATTATTTCAAAATCACTGTCAACATAAATGTTTACGTCAAATTAATATTAATTAATATATATTATAATAATTATAAAGAACTTAACTTTACAGAGAACATGTTAGAATTACCACCATGAAGTCCCTATCGGCTTCTTGGCTGCTTTACTTAACGGTAAAATACACACAAAAAAACTCTTTCCTGAACTTTGCCAGACCTGTAACCGCTTGTTAATCTCAGTTCTGGAAAGCTATAGTGTTTTCACCTGCTATTTTGACAATATATTTTAGTGATAAGATCCAAGTCTTTGGGGTTGGAGGTCCGACTTACCTTCCATCACCCGAATCCTTGGCCACATCCTCAGATTCTGAAGTGAGACTAACTGGGCCACTCCAAAACAGTATATATATATATATATATATATATATATATATAATATCAAGTGAGATGTAGCATGTTGATAAAAATCTATAGGCAGCTTTAAGTTAACCCTTTATCTGCCAATTGTGTTCAACCATTGGGCTTCCCTGTGCCCGTTATCTACTTATTTAAGATTTAAATGTATTTCAGTGTCACAAAGCAAAAAACACCAGACCCACTATTCTATTGCAGTAAAATGTACTAAACTAACTGCACAAATATAATTTTTTAACAATGTCTGTCATCCAAACGAGACAGAAGAGACAAGGTTGAATGTAAAATTTGCATTTACTCAAAAAAATTTTAACAGGAAAACATAAAGTATTACACCAGTTTATATGGTGTAATACTTTAGCAGTGTTGTATCCATCACATCCTCTCATGGGATGTCACAACAACAGGAAACTGTATCTTAAGGCACTGGTAAATTATGAGATTCGTGTCAGTTATGTTCAATAATTTACCGCTGAAAGAAGTATGACTTTCCTGCTTTGGGTTGGACTTTATCCCATTATATTTGTTTCTTGGACTTCAGGCGCCCTTCTTTCCTCAGGTAATAACAACAGCCTTTTAATATCTAATCAGCAAAATGGGCAAAATGTGTTTTTTTTTTTTTTTTGTGAAAAGTAGTAATGCAAGAAATAACTTCATACTACTGTGTTGTATTTAAGCTGGAACCTCATTCTGTGAACATATAATTTTCTTCTCAAATTTTTACCGTAAATCACAGTTTTTTACTCAGATTTCTTCGATGAGACTAGCTTTCCAACAGAGATGTTTAGGTTTAAGAAAAAAAACAACTCAACAGCAAGTGACTAGACACATTTTCAGTAAACAAGGAGTGGTTGGGAATTGCTGAACAAAAGAATGTATTTTTAACACTAATAAATAATAATAATAGCTAATAATGAACTAAATGCATATTTCATGGCAAACAGATCCTGTGCTGATGTTTGCAAAAGAAGGAGACAGAGTTATTTTGCCGTGTGGTTTATCTGTTGGATCCTGCTCTTCTATGAACTGGACTGAGAAGTTTCTAGCATGGGAAAATGAATTGGTGACGGCTGGAAAAGTGACAGATTCAAACGAAAAGAAGTACCATCTGTTGAAAGATTGCTCCCTGGAGATCTCTCATATGGAACGTAACTATGCGACAATGTACTACTGTAAACATGGAGAACAAAATTGGGGAGTTTTTCTTCAGATCATTGATAGTAAGATTTTTATTAATAAAATTCTTAAAATATATGAATTAATTAATTAATTTATTTTTTTATTTTTTCCAACAGTTAATGAGTCCCAACCTGCTGCTGAGGACACAATAGAACTGCACTGCTCCCTCAGTAGATATACAGGCTATGTCCCCTGTAATGACACAAGGATTCATATCGATTGGACCACCGCCGGTGATGTTCCTATAACTGGTAAAAGATTTCGATTTGAAAATCCATCTGTTTGCTTCTCCAAACTGATCATCACCAAAAAAATCACCGACCATCACAGAACATGGAAATGCCAATTAGTCCTGAATGAGGAGGTGAAAGCAACTGCCAGTTATGAGACAAGAGTAAAAGGTTATAGACTTCAGACAGAAATAAACACCATGGTTTAACATGTACAAAGGGTAAACTTCTTCTTTTTTTCCTATAGAGGGGCTGGAGGAAGTGTTTACTCCTGTTGGTGAGTCAGTGTCACTTCTTTGCAGAAACACTTCCTCTCTCAGACTTGGAGACAGCTTAGTGTGGGCTTTGAATAAAAAAACACTGGCTAATATGTTAGTTGAAAACAATCATGTGAGCAAAGACTCATCATTAGTAATCAGTAAGCTAAGTCCACTGCATGCCGGAGACTACCAGTGTATGGCTTCTTCAGAAGAGAGAATTGTGTTTCATAAAATCAGGCTGCACACTCTGGATGGTGAGTGTTTAAGACATAGGAAAGGATATGAAGGGACTAAAACTATAGCAAAAGCTGTTCTGACTCTTCTTTTTCTTACAGTTTTAGCAGATACTGATCCTGCAGGAGGAAATCTCACTTTGACCTGTGTGCTCACATGCGCTAAAGAATGTGAAGAAAACTTCAACTTATCTTGGTCTGGAAGTAACCAAGAGGACTGGCGAGGCAGATTATTGAATGTTAATAACACCTTGATTAATAAGCTTTGTCTCCCAGTTTGGCCGGATGAAATAACCTGCTCTGTGTACAGAGAAGGCTCCCTGATGGCATCCAAAAGTTGGCACTCTGTTAAATGTATGTATGCGTGTTTACTGTGCTGTTAAATATAATCTGTGCTTTATTAGCATGAACAATAGGAAATAAGACTTTAATCTTCTCAGCCAAACAGATCCTCACATGGATGGGTCTCCTTCTGGGCCTTTTAATGTGTGCAGTAACAGGAGGACTTTTTATTTACTTGAAGAGGAACAAGGATCTGAGTACTGGATCTGGTAGCGGAACACCTCCCCTCAACTTTCCCTTTTGGATTATGTAATAAATGCTATAACTTCTTTTTTTCTCTCTTTGTGCAGCTGATGCAAGGTCAAGCATCTCAATGGTAATAAAAATTAAACATTTGCTTTTTGTTCATGTCAAGAGGATGTATGGAGATGTGCTAATTTGAGTGTTCTTCTTCCAAGACCCATGTTTATGATGTCATTCAGGACCAGGAAATACAGCAACAACCAAAAAGAGAAGCGGACACCACTAATGATGGTTTCTACAGTTTATTACAAGCTGTAAACTAGAGGAAGGAAATGAACATTGATCTTTGTCTTTATTTAAATTCTGAATTGTTTTTCTTGTCCAACACAATGACCATGATTTACAAAATGACTTGTATTTTCACATTTTGAAAGAAATAAAACCTTTTGCAAGACAACAATGTAAGATTGATTTCACTTAAAGGATGCAGTTAATTTAAAATATAGTCACCGGTCACTTTATTGGCTACACCTTTCTGATTGCTTGTTAACACCAATAACAAATCAGCCAATCACATTGTACCTATGCACTCAGACATCAAGCGGTAGTGCAGACAGCTCACAGAAGCTGCAAGATTGTTAATGCAAGGTGTAGCGGTCTAACTGCTTATCTACTTAGATATTCACTCATAACAATCTCTGGAGATTAAAAGGAAAAAAACTAAAATGTTTCCAGTAGGCGGCAACTAAAAGGTCAAATGAGAACAGGCAGGCTGGTTTGAAGCAACAGAAAGGTGACAGTATCTCAAGCTACTAGTTGCAACCAAAGGCTGGGGAATCTGGATGCACAATACAAGGAAAACCAAAGCAAAACACCACAGTAGTCATCTCTCCTGTCAGCTAAGGGAAAGAATCAAATCTATGCTCAACAAACGCAGACAACATTTGAAATATATATAAACTTAACCAATTGATCAGGATTATAGCTGCAATGTTCAGGTAGTGGCGTAAGATACAAAATAAAAGTTCTCCCTTACTGTAACTGTGTTATCACACTTCATGTTGTAACATTTTTTCTGTGGCACTCTTTGTGCCAACTTTACATTTTCAAAAGCCAGAGTTCTGTAGAGTGCTGCTATTTATTTTTATCTTTTTAGGACTATAGTCTACCTCTCTTCTGACGGCTGCTTTTCACAGCTCAAACCATCACAAACTTTCTGTAACATTTCACTAAGTTCCCCTATTCCATCAGCCTTCCCTGTCACCAAGTAAAGCCGTTTGGGAAGCTGTGGAAAACTCACATTTGGGTGTACATCTGCCAAAGGTTGAATCTATGGCACAAAGATGGCAGTTCTGGAGGAAAAAGGAAGTCAAACCTAGCACTAACATGGTGTATTTAAAAATGTACAGTATGAGTGATCAGTTTTTGATTAAACAACATCGTAAATGCATTGATTAAACTGGTTGAGTAAGGATGGAGTAAAATCTTCATGTTTTGCCACATGCACCCGGAGAATTCTTAGATTTGAACTGCAAGAAAGATGACATTGTTGGAATTTTATGTGAATATATTCAATATGGATGCACTGCATGTCCTGTAACATACTTACAAGTACTCACTTCAATACTCTCCTCCGGGAATGCATACAAGCTGTTGATTCGGTTTGTAGCACCTGTTGATTGTAGAAAAAAAAATCACAATTAAAAGATGCAATATTACCTTTTGGTTCAAATTAAAGTAAAAAAATATATATAAATGGTGTCATTCAGATAGTTCAATAAGACAATGAGAATATAATTTTTTTCTCACCTGGTGAACATGGAAGATTCACATTCTCATACACATCCCCAGACTCTCTAAAGCAACCTGATCATCAAGCACAAACAATACATAATTCATATGATAAAGAAAATAAGTTTATCATCACTGCACAGAATCTGAAGGTGAATTCAGGGAGCTTATAGGCATAGCTCACCTGCAGAGTTTGTCGGAGTTTTTCGTCTCTTGTAAATAAACAGTCCTGTCAAGACTGCAAGTGTGAGAATCAAGATAATGACCAAGGTTATAACCCAACTTGAGGTTTCATCTTCTCCTTTTGTAGCAGTCTCAAAAACCTGAGAAAAGGCTGGCATAAAAAGAGAAGCTATTTAAGCTCCACCATAAAAAAGAGACCAAGTGTTTATCGAAAACTAAAAACAGAACATACCTTCCTGAGTTTCTGAAAATGCAGAACTTGGAAACATTGTGGTCACAGACACATCTTCTGTTTAATCAGAAAGAGAAAATAAAAAAAATACTGAGAGTTACTGTATATACAACATTTATTTGTTGTAATACTGGAAGGATCAGACTTTGATAACCTTTGAAAAGGAGGTTGATGGATAAGCAGCGCGGACTCTGACTCAGCATGTAATCACATTTGTACCATCCTTTGTCCTTTTCAGTCACAGATTTGATTGTGAGGTGCACTCCGTTTATTGTAACCCTTTCCAAATCAACGGGTACAGAAGTCTTCCCTTTCAGCTTTCCCCATGTGATGTTTGAAGGGGCTGTTTCTCCATCCATTGAGCAGTTCAGGCTTACAGTCGCACCAGGGGTTGCAAACTCTGGTTTAAGGCTTTTGCAGTCTGAAAAATCATACATGTGATCGATCTACCTTGCAGACTCTATAAATGATCTGAAATTGATCAAATGAATAACCTACCTTTCACTTTCAGGGATATCTTTGTGGCATTAATCATATCCCACCCTTTCCAAACTTCAAAGTCGTACACCCCTTCATCTGATTTTTGCAGGTTTTCCAAAAATATGCATGTCTTTCCCTCTCTGTTTTCTTTCAAAGTCACGCGATTGGATTTATGGATTTCCTTTGGATGCTCGAATATAGTCGTAGTTTCCGAATTCACCAGTCTAGCTCTGTGGCAGTCAGGTGGATCCTTAATTTGAAAGTCTGGGCACATCAGGGCCACCTCTTCATCTTTAAAACCTGACACATCCTTAGTCACTGCAAAGCCAGATTATGATGGAATCATAGTACATTATTTAAAAGGTAACATATTTGAAAATAACCACACATAAAAATATATATTCCCCATATTACAATTTCATGTGATATTAATGCAGTTTAAATCTACAAAAAAACATATAAAGATATACTTATATTGATTCGACATTATCAAGAATAAGCTCATAAAACAAACTCACCACTGCATTTAGATTCATGTTTAAAAAAAAATACAAATAGAAAAACCCGAAGGTACAAGTGCTCCATTATCTGACTAATGCAGCAATGTCAGAAGAGTTTCTGCTTTTGTACCTTTTGTCACCTTCACATTGAAATTCTCAGTTCCTTTGTCTATATTAACTACTGTGACTTTGAAACCGCAAGTACTGTCCAGTAAGCTTGACTTGGAAACCTTTTGATGAAGCAATAGTGCCATCTGGTGACAAGAAATAAACATTACTGTACATTTCTGGATTACCTGAAGAGCTTTTCATCACATTTGAGGTATGTATTACTAAATTATAACATCGTTTAACAGTTATTCATTGTTAAAAATAAAAAATAAAATTTGAAAGTGATATTTTACATCAAGATTATGGGATCGGCTGATAAAAGGCCAAATTCAGTTTTGCGTATTTGTTTGCTTGCATGAGGCATGGATTACTGCTGAAGATATATATTTATAAAATATATATATATAATATTACATTTTTTTTATGAAAACAGAAACACCAAGAAAATCTAAGTTTGAAGAAAGAAGGCAATGCTCAAGTGAGCCTTTCTTAGTGATTATTTTAAAACTGTGTCATCACTGTGTTATGCCCTTCTCTGCTAACAAGCAAGAGATGCTGATTTATTTAATTTTTTTTTTCAGATGGTCTTGGTAAATACATACAACCAAAAAGTAATAATTCAAGCTCAACAGGAGGATCACGGTTTTCTGCTTGATCGGATAACTAAGTCATCTGGGGAAATAGAATGGATGGAGAATTGACAATAGAAAGATGAAAAAACACTAAAAGCAAACAGAAAAGACAAGCCAAAAGCTGCTAATAAAGCAAAATGAGTTTTTCTAACAGCTCAGCATAGGGAAAAAAAATGATTAATTACATGCCAGCCCATGAACATAGTTTTTGCTAGGTCAACCCTTTTTACTGCCTACTTAACATTCTAATTTGCTCTCTTTTTATTTTATTTTATTGTTTTTTTGTTAACTGTAAACAACATCCATTTAAATGGCGGGGGGAAAAACACATGAAATACATCTTTTTGTATATAAAAATGAAGAAGTGATCTCCCTCCCTGGAAAAGCTTACTAGGAGCTGATAAAGGAGGCTGACTTTTGAACCTTGGATTCAGACAGTGTGGTTGTTTTTTCCTGGGAACAGTCGACCAAAACTTTAAAGCAAGGGTTTGGAAAATACAAGTTTTCAGTATTTTGACGAGGGTTTCACAGGAGTCTGCATTTCTACAGTATTTTGTAGATCTGGAGAAAAACTAACAGCTGCCTCCCATGAGGCATCTTGTTGGTGCAGCAGCAGAATGGAGCATCTGGGTGGAAGACCCTCTGTTACGCCCACCAAGGACACAACATATTTGAGGACACGAGACAAAAATGAGGGTTCAAAAAAAGATATTTTATTAATAAATTCTCTCCGTTTTAGTTGTTCTTGGTTCGGCTTCTTCAGATGTTCTGCGAAGAGAAAAATAGTTAACGGCCCTCAAATCCCGTGCCCCAAAAAAAGAAAAAAGAAACCCAAAGTAACAACAGAAAGTTGGACCTGGCAGGCCGATCAAACAGAATAAAACGGTACAGCAGGGGGCCAACCCTATACAGGGCCGTCGAAGCCCCTACTGGTACCGGACTAAAGGCAAAAAATAACCTAAGCGAAAGAAAAATCGAAAACAGGACTACCGGTCCCGCCAGGCCAAAAACCTCAAGAAAAAAGTAAGAAAAAGGTAACAAAAATACCACATGGCAGGCTGGAACGTCCGCTGCAGGCCGCAGCGACAAGACAAGTGCGCACCGCGCACGATGGAGCAAATGAAGCAGGTGGGAAGTGGCGTCCAAACGAGGTTGGAAAGGAACGCGAAAGGAACGCGCTAAAGTGCTGAAGGCCAGCCTATTTATAGGCGGACGACAGCACCACAAATTAACATAATTGATTTACTAAAAGAATCCTAAAATATATTAACAAAAGGATCCTTCAACTAAAGTTTATAAGCAAACGAAGAAAAGAAATGGACAAAAATCATAATGTGCCTGGGGCACATAACACCCTCCGATCCCTGTGCATCTAAAAAAAGAGTTGTGCCTGCATTCTCTGTAGAAAGTAGAGCAACTTTCCAATGTATGTCAGACAGGCCTGCTTCTTATCTGATGGAAAGACAGACGGATGGGTGGACAGATGGATGCATGGATCCACATAATACATAGCATTTAGGTTTAGATATTATTCAGTGATCATCAACAGTTGATTTCATTTAAAGGGACATGTATTAACAAGGTGTTTATTTTAAAGTAAAAAAGATTTTTGTATCTGTATCTTGCTCATGAGCGTGTTAGTTTTAAACCAGAAAATGTATCTATCTATAGACTTACAAAAACCTCTCATGTTGCAACACCATTACTTCCTTAAAACAGTGAAGACATGTAAGCTTGTTCATGCTGTAAAAAGGTGAAACATATCAGTGAGCAAATCTTGGGCAGGATGATGCAGAAACCCAACATGCAGTGCTTATGAATGACCGAGCATGTTGAAATACCATAAATGTGAATTCCAGTTTCTGAAACTTTCGTTTGACCTTCAGCTCTGTGCAGCCTGAATTCTAATACAGGAACCTCACCCAGACCTCACTTCCTCTTCAGATACAATTTACAGCCACAGCGTTTAAATTCAGTCAGTTAGTATTAGTTTCCCAGCACTGCTCACACAAATGGATAACAATGCTCAAGGTATGCTTGTATTCATTTTAAAGATATACAAACCAATTGCATTGGGGGGGGACTTGTAATATTTCATTAATATTTTTGAGCAACTCATTTGGTCATTACTGTTTTTTCATTTTTAACAGGAGGCAAAGCTTATGGCCTCCTCAAGTCTCAGCAAGAGGAAAAACTCAACTCTATAAATGAGGTTTGCTAGAATAATTGCCATATCAGCAGTTAAGTTACATGGAGCGTCCAAACAAGGCAACTTATCCTAACCTATTATTCCCTTCCTCAGGTATTTCTCATGGATTCAAAGTATGCAGAAGAGGAAGATCTGGCAGCAAAACTTGAAATGTTCAAAAGTAAGTTTTTTAAAGTTACAATTAGCTTCTCTCTATTTCATACTCCAGTAAAATAATCTGTAAAACATCTCTTTGTGTTTTAGAGAAATACATGGAGTTCGATCTCAATGACAAAGGAGATATAGGTAAATTATTTCTGTAAACCAGGCTCCTACGCAGTGAAAGTATTTTTAGCTACAGTGAATTTTTTAAAAAGTGGCTCTTCAGCAACATTTAACTTGTTTAATTTATTATTCTATATATGTACCATCTTCCAGATATGATGGGGTTAAAACGTATGCTGGAAAAACTGGGACTGGCCAAAACACACTTAGAGCTGAAAAAGATGATGTCAGAGGTGACTGGAAGTCCATCAAAGGACACATTCAGTTACCACGACTTCCTGAATATGATGCTGGGGAAACGAAATGCAATACTTAAGCTGTAAGTATACTAAGTTTTACATGAAACTGAAAATGGTGTCTGATTCTAGACATTGAATCTACATTAATACCAAATTATGTTTTTGGATGTGTTAAGAAATGTCTGTTTCCGTGTTACAGTACAAAGAAAGAAAATAGCTTTATTTCTTGCTATATATTGGAAGAAGGCTTTCGTTGGTTTGAAACTTGAATGACAGCCTCGAGTAAAGTAGTACAAACATATTTTTTAAAGAATGTTTAATATAAGATTATATTTTTAACCTTATGGCTACTTTATTTTTAAGACATTTACCCCAATAAGTTATAAGTAATGCTTCTTTATTTTTCACACCTTGGTCAACCATGTTTTTAACAGTGAAGCCCTTTTATCAGTACCTAGCCAGCAATGTACAGCACCATATGTTTGTCTGTGTGGTCCTGCATTTGTTACCTAATGGGAACAGTGTACGGAGACAGTCCCAGGAAAATGTAATTTTGTTGGGATCGGTCGACTCGTCCCAACGAGCAAAAGTTCTCTTGGGTTGCAGATTAAGGTGTGAATTGAGTTGAGGTTAGGTTTGGGGTAAGGCCACTGAAATGAATTGAAAATAAACGGAAGTATAGGAAAGTACTCGTAAGTATAGCAGAACAAAACATATGTGTTTGTTCCTGTTTTTCTGTTTTCACCATCAAATTCAGGACATTTTGCTGCCCCTTACTACCTTTTGGGCAAACAGTTAGGTTTAGGATGAAATTTAGTTTAGCTTAAGGTAAGGGGTTAGGAATGCAATGACGAAGGTAAGGTTTAGGGTACTTGTCAGGATAAGGGAATAGAATTTAATGGAAGTCAAGGGGAGTCAATACATGGTCCTCACTACATATCAGGTGGGTATACCAAATATTTTACTCCAGTTAGAGTATCACCACTTCAAAATATTTTAACTCAAGTAAAAGTAAAAAGTAATCATCTAGGAAATGACTCAATAGTGAATAAATATTTGGTTAAAAGGCCACCTTAAGCATCGAGTATCTTATGATAACATTGATTAATATTCTAGTATACAAATTCTTGTGCTTTAAATAGTAAATTACAAAATCTACGCAAATACTTTGCCAGAAGTATCAATTTGCTTATTGATGTATGTGAAATTTGATGACATCTTACTCTCTATCTATAGGGTCAATCTGTTCAATCATAGCAATAGCAACATTAACTATTCTGTAAATATTTACTTCAAGTTTTAAGGCGGAATTCACATTTACATGTGAAAAACAGAATTGAAAGGTTGAGGCTAGGGTTCTGTGCAGGCCTATGAAGTTTCTCTACACCAAATTGTATCCACCTACAACTTTATCCACATACCCAAATATTTTCCTTTTATGGTATTAACCAGTACCTTTGGCAATATAATGTATGTTAGAAGAGTGCAGACTTTATCCAATTGCTCAATGAGCTCTGCAGATTAAAAAAAAATAATAAAGAGTACAACAAAATATCTTTGTACAAACAAGAAGTCTCACTTTGTTGGTATGTGTTTTTTTGTTTTTTTACTCCAGTGCATTTTTGTCCCAAAAAAAGTCTGCCTTTTTAAATTCAATAAACTCATGTAGGATAGGGTAGGGAGAAATTTTACCCAAGAGTAGCAATATTACTAAATTAAAAAGTACAGTGTAGTAAAACTACCCCTAAAAGTACATTTTGTTTAAAAGAATATTCGAGTAAATATAACTGGATAAATTCATTGTGTTACTATCCACTTCTGCTACATAATGAAAAACAAGAATGTGTGTAAGTTGGGGAGACTTTATCTCATTAAATATTTCAGAAAGTATAAACCATATGATATAAAAAAGCAAAATAATCAGTTGTTTTTCTTTTTCCTCTGTTAAGGATCCTCATGTTTGAAGGAATGGGAAAGGAGCAGGAGCAGAAGGATGTTGGTCCACCTTCACGCAAAACCTTTTCAGACCTTCCATGAAACCTCTACAGCACCCGAAAATGTCATTTTGGCTCTATTTATCCTATTGAAGAGTACTTCTGATGCATTCACGATGTAAAACAAAAATAAAATGCCACGACTCTTAAAAAGAAGGGAAATTAATGTATTACTTGGATGCTAAAATGTAAAGCATAACAGTAGAAAAGTGCAGCCATATAATGCTACTCGTCATACTATGTATACGTGACGAGTATACATTATATGGCTACATGTTTCTACAATTATGTTAATTTTACTTGGGCTAAGATTCAAGACTTTGTCGTGGCATTTTTCCTATATCCAATGTTTTGGAACTATTATTTCATTAAAAAAGAGGGAAAGCAATACTACATTACACCTTTGTGAATTTTGTCTTAGCATGTCTTAGCACCCCTCTAAGTCAAAAATATTGATGATTGCCCAAAAGTGGGATGTACAACAACTGATTACAAAATAAAAAACTATTTTACTTTATCTTTCAATTTGAGCATTTAATTCTTAAGCATTTTATGCTGTCAGTCACAAATAAAAAAAAGCCACATAAATATGTTGCCTGAAAATTAGCAAGGAATCAAAATCAATACAAAATAAAATCATATAAACGTTTATTTAAAAAAATGAGCTCCTCTGAGTAACTCCCTTATAATCACATTTAAACTTAATGAAAATAATTAACAAAAATAATAGTCAGACTGACTTAATTTTTACTTTTGATCAATACACCTGAGCTGCTTTGATGAGCTACAGCAGCTCAGTAAGAACAACAGCTGATCCCAGGCTGTTCTTTACTTCCAGGATGTTCCTCTGCTTGGGTTTGATGCATGTGTCAAAGCTGAACTCAAACATATAAGAAAAACTTACTTTTTTATTGATAAAAGCTTGTTATGATTTTCAATTTGGTCCTCAGAAAGAAAAGCAGATTCCATCCCTATTTTATTTAAAATTAACCCTTTAAAGCCTGAACCATGAAGCACTTCAATGTTCTTTTTTTCTTTTTCTTATTGGAGTGGTCATTGAACTTTCTGCAAAAGGAAAAATAAAAAACGGCAAACATTTTGTGTAAGCTAAATTAGATCTCTTATTTGAATCATTTTTGATACATTAGGCATTTCTGTATAACCTTTTATGTTTAAACTTTTTTCTGTTAGCTACATGTGTCTGATTGTGTAAGTACGGAAGAGGATTAGGGCCACTGAAAAAATTTAAAACTTTAACTGATTTTTAAATTTCATTTCAGTATAATATGAGAAAAAAGTCAGAATTCTGACTTTCACCTCAGAATTATGACTTCTTTCTCTAAATTCTGACTTTAATCTCAGAAATGTGACTGTTTTCTGACAGCTAACAAACATGTTAGCATCAAGCCGTAGCCATGTCTGTGTTAGTACGGAGCCCCCTGGGTGTCAGGGGAAAAAAAAAAAAAATAGCCAGTGGAAATCCGTGGGCACGGATTGATAAACTGAGCGCACGGTTTTCCAATGCGTGCGCAGATTAAGAAACTGTGCTCTCGGTTTATTAATCTGTGCTCGCGGATTGAGAAACTGTGCTCTCGGTTTATCAACCCGTGCCCATGGATTAAGAAACTGTGCTCTCGTTTTATTGATCCAGCTGCTCCGGAACCTTCAGAGTTCAATGCATGAGTCGCACCTACAAGGTAAGTTTAGTCAATTAATTGTTATATACCGGTATATATAAACATATAGACTTAGTGCAGTACGATGCTTTAAAGAGCACGCTTTAGAGCTTTAACTTGCATCGAACTCTGAAGGTTCCGGAGCAGATGTGTGCGCACGGAATGCAAAGCAGGGCATACAGTTTATTGATCAGCGCGCACGGATCAATAAACCGAGAGCACAGTTTCTTAATCTGCGCGCGTGGATTAATAAACCGAGAGCACAGTTTCTTAATCTGCGCGCACGGATTAATAAACCGGGAGCACAGTTCTTTAATCTGCGCGCACGGATTAATAAACCGAGAGCATAGTTCTTTAATCTGCGCGCACGGATTAATAAACCGAGAGCATAGTTCTTTAATCTGCGCGCACGGATTAATAAACCGAGAGCATAGTTCTTTAATCTGCGCGCACGGATTAATAAACCGAGAGCACAGTCTCTTAATCTGCGCGCACGGATTGGAAAACCGTACACTCAGTTTATCAATCCGTGCCCACGGATTTCCAACGGCCTTTTTTTTTTACCCTGACACCAAGTTGGCTCCGTAGATTAAAGTCAGAATTCTGAGAAAAAAGTCAGAATTCTGAGATTAAAGTCCAAATTCTGAAATTAAAGTCAGAATTCTGACCTTTTCTCCATATTAAACTGAAGTAATATTTAAAAATCAGTTAACTTTTTTTTTTTTCAGTGGCTCTGATCCTCTTCCATATGCAAGTCCTGGTTTTCAAGAACAAAAATTTCTCACTGAAGACGCAGAGGTCTCAAAAAGCAATGTATCAAATATGATACACATGGCCTTAATGGGTTACATTTTTTTATGTAGCACGCACTCGCGGACCCCTAGGGGAAAGAGTAGCCCCAGTTATAAATCACTGCTCTAATGTTTCTATTTCCTGATATTACAGTAGAAGTTTTAGACCATTAATTTGAAAACCCTCGTTACCGGAAGTTGTTCAACACGGAAGAGAGGAAAGGCTAGCGCTAGCAGCAAGCTAGCTTGCTTGTACACTAACCGTCAACGTATGTTGCGGTGAACTCAAACTAGTTCTGGACTGGTATCCAGTGTCTTTCAAGCTTCTTTTACCGAATCTAGTTTCTAGCAGCAGATATAAAAAGCGCAGCTATTTGTCAGGAGGATGAGCAGTTCGGAGGAGGTGTCCTGGATATCCTGGTTCTGTGGACTCAGAGGAAACGAGTTGTTCTGTGAGGCAAGTTTTACTTTTACTTTGAAAATTCGATCCAATAATAAAACCTACGAGCCCATTTATAAAGCAATCACGTCTCTGATCATGTGTCCCATTAACTCGTGGGTTTTGGAAACTTATTTTTGGGGTTTTAAAAATATGTGGATTAGGAAATTCTAAGAGTTATCGAAAATCAACCATCATTCTATTTAAGTTAAAAAAAAAAACAAGAAAAACGGACAGTAACTTTAAAAGGTTTTTTAATTCAGCTACTGTCACTCATGGTGGTTCTAGTTTATTTTTTTAATAGGTTTTGTTACCATTGCAAAGCACAAACATAAGCCCCAGAAAAAAGAGGAAATTATGGGACTATTTCATAACTATAAGATACTTTCTCATAATAATGAAATATTACCTAATAGTCATTATTTGACTACCTTGTTTTTTGTCATGAGAATTATGGAAACCGGTTACTATAGTAACATGCAGTTCCAGGGCTATGGTAGCTGACAGAGCCAAAGGGAGAACTGTTACAATGAGGAATATTTCTAATTGGAATTAGATTGCATTGTTTTCCTTTATTATGCAATATCTGCATAGAAGATTTTCAACAAATAGTAGAAAATGTTTGTGATGTTTAATTTACCTCCAACCATGTGCTCTACATGTTTAAATGGTTAACCTATTTATCTTCAATTTTCATATTTATAGAAAAGGCTCACTGGATTGACCTCATTCTACTAAATATTTTGTTCTCTTTGTAAAATTTAGATTATCCACAAGTCTAGAGGTTAAATTTTTAGATTTTCAGTTTATTTCCACACCTTTCACATAAGTCATTCAGCACACAATTTAAAATGTTTTTGTTGCAGGAGAGCATAGGTGTGGCTGTGAATTGAAAATGTTTTTGGCCTCTTCTATAGACGAAAGTAAAAAGGCTCTTATTTTGTGTACTGATTCTGTTCCTGTATATATGTAATTGTCTCATAAATCATGTTTTTAATGCATGACAAAGTGGAAAATGGAAATAAAACATACAAGCAGAGACAGGCTTATGTAAGCGTATTTTGTCAGATTAGTGCACCTTCTTGTTTATTTTGGTTATAGACATGTTATGACTTTAAAATCTTCAACCTATTGCTTCAACCTACTGCTAATGTCTACTAATATAGTTCTTGAAAAATAATTCAGAGCCCTTTCTGATCAATTCTTATATTCTAAAAACGTCAAACAATATATTTGAACTTCACTCAACTACAGTGTTTTGCTGCTGCTGCAGCAACATTACCTGCAGCTGTTAACAGCCTCTAACGATCCTTTGTTGTTTTATTTCAGATAGATGAAGATTACATTCAGGATAGGTTCAACCTTACGGGTCTGAGTGAGCAGGTACCTCATTTCCGCCAGGCTTTGGATTTGATCCTCGACCTGGAGGCAGGTAAGGTTATAAGGAGGTGTTGCTTTCGGTCATAAATGGGTGGGAAAAAAACAATTTTAAATTACTAAATGACTTTTCTGTAACAGATGAGGAAACTGAAGACAATCCGAATGAGAGCGGTTTGACTGAGCAGGCAGCTGAGATGCTCTATGGTCTTATACATGCACGCTACATTCTCACAAACAGAGGCATTGCACAAATGGTAACTGCTGTATTATGTAAAAGGAGCATGAGTTTGTTTAAATCAATCGTCACCATTTATCTTCATCTTTTTTTCTCTTTTTAGCTGGAAAAATATCAGCAAGGAGACTTTGGCTGCTGTCCCAGGGTAAATTGCGAGAACCAGCCAATGCTTCCTATTGGTAAGGCTGACTGTTTTTCCCTCAATTCACCATCATCAAACCTTTCTTTAATATTTTATTTCTAATCTAGGCTTATCAGACATCCCTGGAGAATCAATGGTGAAGCTTTACTGTCCAAAGTGTATGGACGTGTACAGCCCCAGATCGTCCAGACACCATCATACAGATGGAGCCTACTTCGGCACAGGATTTCCTCATATGTTGTTCATGGTGAACCCAGAGTATCGACCGAAGCGACCAGCCAGCCAGTTCGTACCAAGGTTTGCTCACTTTTGTTTTAAGCAGGTCTTTTCTCTTTCGTATGGACCGGGATCTAATTTCTCTTTCTTTCTTCAGGCTGTATGGTTTCAAAATTCACCCCATGGCTTATCAACTGCAGCTTCAGACGGCATCAAGTTTCAAAAGCCCAGCAAAGGCAATTCGCTAGAGACCAACTTTGCAATGACAATGGACTCAAACATTATCATCATAATTTGAAGAAGTGCACTATTCCCAATAAAAAGCTTTACAGTTACCTAAAATCATCTTTGTTTGTGCTTTTAAACACATCCTGCTGTTCTGATTTAAAGAAAATTACAACAAATCCACATTAGCAAATATATTTATGCAGATGTAAGTGGATAGGTGAGGGGCTAAGCAGTGAACCGCTCCAGTTAACATTAAAGATTGTGATATTATCTGCTAGAAAAAAAAAAAAAAAAAAACAGAAATAAGGCCTCATGAATCTCAAACCAAGAATTGTGCTAGTTGTGTATGAAAAAAAAGGTCTTATCAACATGCACTCAGATGTTTGGTGTTATTTTTATAATTTTTTTTTTTTTGCCAAAGTTGTTGAAAAAAAATAATAAAAAAGAAGTCCCCCAGGTGCCTTTTTTTAGTGATCAAGTAAACCAAACTGGATAGTTTGGGAAAATAACAGACACTGAAATATAAATGTTTGCCTCATTTATATTTACTGATAATTTGCATTCATGTATAAACCTTATTCTACCAGCTATTTTTATGTCACAGGTACATACATGTTGCTGTGCCCTCCACAGAGGTCTAATTACCTTTATTGAAATTAGGGTTGTCAAAAGTATAGATACTCAAAAAATAATCAATACTGAAACATTGTATCTGGTCTGGATACAATACTCGTTTTTAAAAGTATCGATACAGTGCCACCACCAGTGGCACCTAAGCAGTCGTTCATCTGAAGTGCAGAATAGAGGACAATGCACTTTCTGAACACTGTGTGATTGAATAATTCTGTGCACTTTTCAGTTTCAGACTTTTTCTTTGGAACAGGTGCAGCTGCTGAGAATTATTTTGTTTGTTAACCGGTTTGGCTAGTGTCATTGTTATGTGTGCAAAGCATAGCCAAGGAAGGAACACAAGCTTGCTTGATATTATGCACAGCATACAACCTCAAAACATTGTTCTTATTGTATTTTATTTTTTTATGAAAATATTTCTGTAGAATTTTGAAAACTTTTTTATCCTTGTGGTATCGAAATTGGTATCGAGTATCGAATATTTTCCTTAGAATCGGTATCGAGTTGAAAAGCTTAGTATCGTGACGGCCCTAATTGAAATCACCTTTTTAATGCAGTAACATTTTGCAGTAAAGTTAAAATTTGAAAACATTTAATGATCAAAAATAATTCCCTTAAAGTATATTTTTTAAACGTGAAGTATACTTTGATTATTGACCTCTAGATATCCCTACTTGCCAACAGACTGCTTCTTTTTAATGCAATAATCTGAACCTTCTGCTCTGCAATCTGTCCAGACTTTTTATTCCACCACCTTTTCCTGGATATTTCCTGACTTAAGGTATAGTAGAGGGTGTACTTTTTCCAGGTGGATCATCAAAATAAGTGGTTCTCCTAATTATCAATCTTTCTTGTGATATGTTTGCGTAAGGCTGTCCTACGTGCTCGTCCCCATTTTCACTTACAGGTGGTGAGTCTGACATAGTGGAAAAATTGCAAATCTTTTCCAAAGTAAGCTTGTATGGGCGGTGCTAACAGCAACTTTTAAACGGCATGCACGAGGAAATGGGCTTGTGCATGCTCATGCACTTTTAATAGGCGTCACCTCTCAGGAGCGGGTACAGGATCGTGCATGTATATATATATTTTTAAGTGGAAAGGGCAGGTCTTTACAAAGATTTGTGAAAATCCTACAGTGTACCTTTAAGAGCAACGCTCCTACCATACTAAAATTACCCGTTCTCTCATCTTTCTTATCTTTAACCCTAAGCAAAACATAGAATATAGACACCAACATCTGTTTATTAAAGAATCTTAAAATTATGTGTGATTTTAAAAAACTGTGGCAGAAATGTTTGCCCACATCTCTACCAGGACGACCAGCGTTTGTTGATACATGAAACTTCTATCTATCTAACTATCTCAGTAACATAAGGCAGTATTTGCTTTTGTTTTTTTTTTGTGGTAGGCTAAAGTTCACACAGACAGCCAAACAAGAATGCAAGTGAATGCATGTTTTATTCTCTTCATAAAAAGACAGGGAGAATTCACAAAGCGACAATAGCTTCTTTGTCTAAGATCAAAATTTTCTTATTAGGAAACAATAAATCTTTCATCAGAAGATTGTGGGTATGTTTTAATGAATAAAGCTACATTAGACAACAAACTCTGGATCTAATGACAAAAGGGAAATGTTAGTGAGAATTGTCTAAAAGTTAGTCAAACATTCCTCTATAGAAAAAAAGCAAAGGAAAACAGGTTAAGTGCAAATCTACTCAAAACTATGTGGTTCAAAAGGCTTTGCAAACTTGCAAAACTTGTCGTCTCTACCTGAAGCCTTGAAGCTAGTTAAAACACCACAGTACATCAAAATCACATGAAACAGTTCCGACTTTACAAATAAATTACTGTATCGCAGAACATTAAAAAAATTGACAACCTGTGCTCCTGTGAGAGAAAAAACAAAAAGCCACATATACTCAGGCAGCTGCCTTCATCCCTTACATGTATGATAATAGTGACAGAAGTTTGATTTGCATTGACCTCACTTGACTCAATATGAATGTGCATTTACAAGAGATGGATATACATCGATGGCAGTTCCTCATACGGAGGTCTGTGGTCTTAGAACGTCAAACACCTGAGATAAGCAGACCAGAGCGGAAAAAAAACAAAAACATTACAGACTAAATCAAATGGCTCTTAAAAGTAAACACACCCCAATCAAATGTAAGAAACCTTGATCCACACATATTGTGACATATCCCGTATAATTTAAGTAAAAAAACGTAAAAACAGCTGCAATGGGCTGGCTGGATGAATACATTCTAAGACTTTGTTGAAGCACCTTTTGATTCGACTTCAGTGTTTAGTCTCGAGTTTCCATTTGCCATCAATTCTATTTAATCCAATTTGCATTAAAGAAAGATCAGGGTGGCCTTAAGGGATCTTCTTGATAATCACCTTGTTTTAGCTTTGAGCCAAAACCAGTAGGGATTTTATATCGCCTCAAAATGGTTTCACTTTATAAAAAAACAATCCATTAGGAGGATATATATATATATATATATATATATATATATATATATATATATATATATATATACACCATATATATATACCAAACCCTGAAAAGCTAATGATGGACATGGATTCTATCCATGTTATATCAAAATCAAACCTATTCTGATAAGGAAAATCTGTGGTCAGGTAACCTGTGGTGAGCTGTGGACAAAACATGTCGTAACAGGATGACACTTTTTTTTTTTTTAAAGAGATGATGCATAGGTTAACAAAATTAATTATAGCAAAAAAAAATGTTGAGATAAAAAAAAATCAACAGGTACTTCAATAAAGTGTTAACTTTAAAGGGTCATTTTGCTGGACCGTTTAATGCTTCATACTATTACCTTTTAAAGATGGATATATTTCATATCAGGTTTAAAGGTTTCAAAACATTTAATCAAAGGCCCACTTTTAATAACGTGATTAAAAACCTGGCCTTTCAGGGAGGCGTTTACTTTTTCCAGAAGCCACTGTATGTAAAAAGTATGACAATGAGAGAAATATGGTTTAGGGGAGCACATGTTTGTAAAAGGATGAAGAGTCTGGTAAACTTGGTGGACTACAAGAGAAAACGAATAAGAATGATTCAGGCAGAACATGTCTTTAAACAGCTGGTCACCTACAAACCCAATGGATATGAATAACTTAAAAAGCTCAAATCTTTACAAATATTATAAAAAAATCATACTTTTACAAAATAGAGAAATATTTGAAAATAGATCATTTTTTTTCAGTTTAAACTTTACAAGAAGGTGTAGGCTACAGGTTCCATGCTGGCTGGGGAAGCAAAGATTTAGACATCACTTTTCGTACCTGAGCAGTGAACAAAGCCGAAGAAACTGTTCAAATTTGAGCACAGAATATCTTTGTTCATGTTGTAAATGTGAGGTATGTAATTTGAACAATAATTATAAAAAAAAATCTCTCCTGAATTTAACAAGTAAACAAAAAAAAAAAAAACAAAAAAAAAAAAAAAAAAGAGTTCACATGAATGTCTTCTTAACGCTTTCCCAGAGTAGCACCAAGGGAATCACTGCTAATCACGGTTCCTGAACTGAAGCTCTACATCTGTAGAAAACCACACTGAAAAAAAACAAAACAATAAAAGCATTTCAAAGCAAACATAACTGAGATTACTAAAGCTGATAAAAAAGGCTGGTTTTCAACCAATCAAAAGTGTTCACGCTAAAATACCAGGATGATATCTGAAGCATTTAATGAGCAGCGCCTACCTACTGTGAAGAGCTCAGATCAGAAAACAAACTAAGTGGATCTACAAGGAACAGTCTACGCAGTCATTTTAGAGCAGATTTCTGAGGTCTTTTGTGCGCAAACAGATTTGGACACTGCGTGCGTAGAGTGTCGCAGTCTAAAGGATGTTGGAGGTGCTGAGTCAGGGATGAGGGAGGGCTCTGTTACAATGCTGATGCTCCACCATGTTTCTCCTGAAAGACAAACATTTATTCATGTTAACATGATAAAACAGCGGAGTGGTCGTGATAGGGTTAATGATAACAACCACTTATTGTCCTACAAAGAAATCAATACACGACAAGAGTTACTTTTCAGCAGAACAGGAGAGTGGAACCAGAGGGAGAATGACACTTCCTCAATGTCTGTGTTCAACTTTAGCCCCATTTTTTTTTTTTTTTTAATAGATGTTTATTAATTTTTGTTTAATAACAACAACATAACATAGAACACAAGCTCAGCAGTGCAGAAAAGAAAAGATAAGATAGGGGGCATACATATTTCCATCATTATAGAGTCCAAATCTAAGCATTTATAAACGCTCTAGACAGGATGGTAGACACGGTCCTTCAGAATAGTCCAGGAAGGGCTTCCATATGCATCCAAAAGTGTCAGTCTAAGATTGGATGAGGCATGTTAGAAAGTTAAGAGGGATATATTCCAAAATAAGCATCTTCCATCCAAAAATGGTAGGAGATTTATTACAAATCCATTGTAGTAAAATATTATTTCGAGCACAAAAATTAGGACTACTCTAGCCCCATTTAAACTAACCTCTGAAAACCGATCTGTGTCGAGTTCAGACCAACCTTGGATCATTTAACTGTGCTGAGCTTGATTGCTTACTAACGTTTACACACCAAACTAGCACGGTTCCTCGCCTCCTAATGACGATCTACGGTACTACTCCTCCCTACAGGTAAACAAGCAAATCAACATGTGCCGGAAGTTTGGTTATAATTGTGATATTTCGTTGTTTGATGAGAGTAAGGCAAAGATGGCAGCCTTTGGTGAGTTTACCTGACCGAGTCAGCCTTTGGGAAGTGGAGACGACAAACAATATTCTAATCAGGGCTTACAGACGCAGGAAACAATGTTTTAATTCAGGTGGTAATAAGTCACCAGGAAATTCTATTATTTCACTTACAAACTTTAGTACAGCTTTAATAATTCTACCAGACACTCAATAAATAATGTTTTTACCTAAAAATAAGAAGGACATTCTTTATAATTTCAAACTGCATAAATAACAATACATTTAACAGTAGAAAAAACATTCTACCCTGCTGTAGACTGATTACTCAATTAAAGCCTCCAGCTTTTTATTTAGTCTAAATTAGATCTTTCAAAAAAATAAAAAACGCTCATCCTTCCACTATGGTTTCAACAGGGAGGGAAAACTTTTATTACCTGGACCTGTTCTTGGTCGGCATCAGAGTCTGCTGTAATGACGATCCTCTTCTCCACACGGCTCTCTGATGATCCACTTTTTACCACCTGAAAAGGTAAAAATACATTTAGCAGGTCCAGAGTATGGGATGAAATAAAAAAAGTGGAGCAGGAAACATTTTAGCAGCTAACCTTTGAGATATGGGTAGTAGTGGTGGTAACAGTGGTGCCGCTGGTCGTCTGTGAGGTAATGGTCTTGGAAGAGGATAGAGAGCTTTCTTTGTCTTCATCTGTCCCTTCATCTGACATCTGAGGAAAACACCAAAAGAAGACAAAAAAGGATCATATCATGACTGACCTTTATTTTATGAAGGTGCATTGCAGTGCCACCCCCGTCCCCTTCCCCCCCTGTCAAAATCCAGTGTATGTTAGCTCGCCAACTTCTGGAGGTGACGTAGATCTGGACTGAGCTGCTGCTGGAGCTGGGTTAGGGTCAGCCCTACCTTTGAAGACTCATAGGTGAAGGTCTTGGTGGGGACGATGGGGACCTCTGTGGTGGAGATGTCACCGGGTACGGAGTTGGGAACGGCTGTGATGGTGACAGTCTGGGTCTGCACCAGAGGGGGCTGTGGATGGGAGCATAGCCCCGTGAGCCGCTGTTTAACCAGACACTTCTCCTCTCACAGCAATCAGTTCTTCTTTCACACCATGCAGTCCCTCTCAGTGTAAATCATTTCCACCACCAGACCAAACTAGCTTTGATTGTTTCCCGAAGAAATACGGTCACACCTCTGACTTCCTATTCAACACTTGCATGTGACAGTCACTTATTTTAATCATTGTGTGTAAAAGTAGGAAGTATTATTGCTACAGCAGCCCGTCACCAGTTAGGAACTTACATCACCGTGCAACACCTCTGCAGCACACTCATTTATTTTAAAAAAAACATTAAAGTCTTTTTTAGATTGATGCATTTTCTTGTGTCCAGGTGCTGCAAAGGAGTCAGCAAGTGTGGAAACTAAAGCCCAAGAAGGAAAAGATGCACCATCTCCCACCATGTTGAGGGATTTAAGAGACTACCTGGAAGCAGCGTATGACCTGTGGACCATCGCTCCGGAAATAGGAAGCTGGGGTAGGTCCAACTATTCCCCTGCAGCACTCAGGTGCTACAGGACACGTTCCTTCTTCCTCCTGGATCTCGTGTAACTCCTTACAGGAGAACTCAACCGGAGGAACCAGCTGTGCCATTTCCACCTCTACAAGGGGCACCATGTGAGTATGAAAAACCCCAACCTCGGGATCATACGGCTTCTCTTCAACAGCAGCGCCGCAGGCTTCCACACCAGCAGGCTCCCTCTGATCGCTCTCAGAGAGACCGGGTACCTCAGAGATCCCCAAATTACTGCTGGTTTCCTCATGATGAGTTTTTGTTTCTGAACATGTGCAAGAGGGACTAATGCACACACTCTAAAAAAAGACAAACACGGTCACTATGATCATAAGGAGACAAAGTGTTGTGGTAACAAATGACATTTACATGAATCATAGACAAGTTTGCATGCCTTTCCTGTCTACTAAAGAGATCACAATGTAGGATGTAAACAGAAATTATCTGATCTTAATTGCTTTTTCAACCAAAAATTATGCGTTTCAACGATTGATTGCACAACCCACTATCTACCCATGTATTTCATGATTCAGGAACTTGCTAAACTTCATGACTGGTTAACCTAGATTTATAGGACATGTATTTCCTCTGTGAAAATCACTCTGGTCAATTAGATGCCTCCAAATGTACCCCCACAAACAACGTTGATTGCTTAATGTGCATAATATTTATAAGGAGCTTTGAACAGCAGAGGTTTTTACTTTCTTCTGGGAAAATTACAGCTTTAATACATTGAAAATGCATAAATTCAAAAGCTTTTTCAAATAATGTAATGCCCTTTGCCATTTATCTACTATAAATATGAATATTGAATCTAGTGCTACAACTAGTGATTATTTTGCAAATCGATTAATCAGGCAAATGATTTTTCGATGACTGCTGGAGATAGGCACCAGCACCCCTCGCGACCCCACTTGGGACAAGCGTGTAAAGAAAATGGATGGATGGATGGATGATTTCGATTAATCAATTAATAACTAGATAGCCAAAGATTCCTTTTTGACAAATAAAACCAGGTGAATCTTAGACTTTTCCTGATTGAGGAGTTCTTTATAGAGCATATTGACAGAAAAGTTTTTTTTTTATTTTCTTTTATCTTAAATGCAAGATGTTTATATATTTTTTTTTTTTTTACAATTTTGATATATTTACTGCTCTAAGTGGGTCACTCTGTCAGCTAAAGGCATGTTTTACACTCTCTATACTACAGTTAAAGATGAATCGATTACTAAATTAGTTGTTGACTATTTCAATAATCGAATGAATTATGATTAACCTGATTAATTGTTTCAGCCCTAATTTAATCCCTGCTAAATCCAACTACCGGTCCATTGTGTTGGTCGCATCCCTAGGAAACCAAGCATTTATCTGTATTACAGGTTTTTTGATAATTTCTGAGTTATTGCAGCAAACTGTGCTTCTACTTCTGCAAAGACCTTCAGAGGTAAAAGGACTGGCTGCTATACTTTCCTCCCTGTTGGTCTGATGTGACCATAGCTAACATGCTTATCATGGTGCTGAACAATGTTCAAGTAGCATACCATGTTTATAAAACAGAAAACATTTTTCCTGTAAGCTATCGTCTTTAACTGGAACTGTACAAAAATATATCAAGATGAAATACCAAGGAGTGGAAACAAGGCCTGCTAACGTTTTAGCAAATTGCATGTACAAAATCCTCATCTGAAGGAAATGGCCTTGTGTTTTTTAAAGTTATTTATATTAAGAGGGTAATCGAGGTGATGTCTTGTCAGCTGCTTTCTTAAGAACACAGTTAGGGCTGCTGGTTAGCTTAGCACCAAAATAGGAGACTGTAAAGACTTTGCTTTAAGTTGTTTTACTGCACAGATAGACGTACAATGGCCATTTCATTAGGAGGACTTTAAACTTAGTTAAATATATATTTAATTTTTTTTTTTTGGATTTCGTATTCCGACACAGCAAGGGACTACAACATTTATTTAAACATACCGGTAAGTGTTTTATAGATTTATAGGTTGACTTAAGGTCATTATAGTTACTTTATCTCCATGAGATGGTTTATATCTGTATATCAACAGGGTCTTCAAATGTGATAGACTGTCTGCACTTCCAAAGCCCTAATATGGTCCTTCCTGTTCATGTTTTGAATTGTATTATTAGTCGATTAATCATTTCTAAAAGGCCTCATTGGGTTTAACTGAATCAGCATCTTAACTGCAATAGCTGGCCTATCAGAGGTAATGGAAATGGCTAACCTCTCAACACTGCACATTATATATGATTGGCCGCTTCTAGCTTTTTCTTTGGGTTTTGATTTAAAGAGAGCACGAGTCTTGAATAGATCTTAGCCATTTTGCTATGATTTAAGTTTCTTTATTTGTTTTTATTGTGTTTCATATCTAATTTGTCCTTTCTTTTCCTCCCATCTGAGGCACGGTGGTCAAGCTGTTTTAGTTAAATGTTTTAATAAGATTGAAAAACTGCAGTTATTACAAACTCCAAACATAAAAACTGCCAAGACAACCATGCACTTAAACATCATTTTTAGCACATGACAATTTCACAATAAAATCCCATTCAATAAACATAACATAAAAAAAAGACTGAGCTGGTTATGGAATGCCTTTTTATTCCTTGGTCTAAGTTGATTGTCAAAACATCATGCAACAAGTACTGTCTTATGGTGAAGGTAAAGAACTGTATTACAACTGAGCTGCCTCGAGGTTTCCTACTACAGGAAATACTACATTGTAAGGAAGAGCAGAGATAAAATCCCCAAAACAACTCATTGAAATTTGTTCTTCTTGTGTGTTCAGAAAAAAGTCACAGTGATTTGTTTATCCAAAGACAGAATCCTAAGAACTAGTGAAGATAGAAACGCACCCCAACGTGTATAAAATGGGCTTAAAGTGATCCGGTCAGACATTAAAAAATTTAAGATGATTACCAGCTGTAGTTATCATTAAATTTCATCACAGAAAATGTTAAACAATTCCAGCGTTTAGTCTTTAGAGATGAGGTCAGTTTCTGGCTGGAAAAACACCAGGAGATTGTTCAACCTCAGGAAATAAAAAGAATCAAAGTCTTTACAGTCTTTGGAGAAGAGGATGGGAGATGAAGAGCGCTGGAGTGGTGTTTGCAGAAGGAAGAGAGGAACGGAGAGGAAAGCTAGAGAGTGATGGGCTGATGGGCGCGGCCTTCGTACGTCACATTCACACCTTTGTGCAGGAAGTCCGCAGCGTTGAGAAGACCCCCCCCCCCCTTCAACTGCGTTTGGAGTAGAAGTCTAGGAGAGGGCCGCGTGGGAGGCGGATGACAAACTGAGAGGGGGAGGAGGAGGAGGGAGGAAGAGAGATGAGAGGGAGGAATTTTAAAGAGTCTGATATGACTGATTTTAAACTGCTAGCATTATGCAATCTCTTACTATTTAAATAATAAAAGCTTTACTTCAACAAAAGTTAAAATTTCATTGTTATCCTAGAGCATGGAAATTTTAGCACTACATGCATTTTAACATGCACTCCTTGATTTCCATGTCCAATGAATAGTTTTGAATCTGAAATGACAAAGTCATCCACTTTAACTGCATCTTTTTATACAATTAAAATTAAATTTTAAATTCAACGACACCCAGAATAAAATTTAAAGCCGTAAATCCTCTAAAATAGGAGAGGGCCTTTATTTCACTCAGGTACATCTTGGTCCAGGCCATTATTGGAGGGAGGCCATAATTAGAGGCAGGCCTCTATTTCTATTTGATCAAAACAGACTACCAGTAGAATGAATAAAAACAAGATTTTGTGTCTCTTTGAACCTATAAAATACTAGGTTCATTTATTGAAAAAGTAAAGTATATATTTCAAGGGAAATTCAGAAAAATTCTGTAATTTTAATGCTGCCTGGTTACCACCAGACCTACCGGTAATCACAATTTGTCTTTCAGATCAGAAAGATTGTGTGGCTGGTTATACTCCTGCAGCAGTGTGTCGCAGTGAGCTTGACGCAGACAATTTTGATTTATGCTTAATATTGAAGCGTAGTCTGTGCTATACACTGCGGGTGTAGATACGGCCGAGGCGGTGAGCAAGTGGGGGTGAGTAGTCCGACAAGGGAGGGACATGACGGCGAAAAAGAGCAGAGATCCAGGTGGAAAAAGGGTCCCAGCGTTCTCGCATACCTCGCTCTTCTAGCTGGTAAAACTTCACAACTTGTTTTCCGCAATTTTGGTCATAAATTAGAGGATTTACGGTACTGCAGGTTGACTTAGGTTAACTACCCATTTAAGCACAGGGTTATGCTTCCATGGTCGATAGGATCTACTCAGCTTATAACTAGTCTTGCACCGATAGCAATACCAGTATCAGGCGGGGCTCCAATCCAGCACTAAAATAGTGGTATTGGTATCGGCGAATACCAACAAATAGGTCACCGATACCATTTTGAGAGCCAAAATTTTATTCAACTGTTGTCACACATTCCAGGTAGGCAATAAAATGTTCTACTGGATTCACTTTGTATTAGTCTTTTTGTTCCTGTTTCACGAAGGTAGGCAGCAGCTTGACAAAGCAATGATGGCAATTATTTTACATCCTAGTAGTATGCAGTTCTTCATATACACACACACCAGTGGCGGCTGGTGAAAAATATTTTTGGTGGGGCTGATATAGCCTAGTGTATGTCTCCAACTAATCCGGAATAAGAATTCGATTAAACAATTGGACAATACATACAATTTAACAGTAATGATTTAATTTACTATATAATAACAGTAACAGTGATGATTTGGGTCACTGTGACGGGGTTCTTTGGCCTCCAAGAATCCAGGCTCAGTCGGGTTACCGGTGTTGGTGATTTATTGAGCTCAAAAACTCAAAACAGGGTGCAAAAGAAACTAAACATATACCAGATACTCTGGGCCTCAGCCTCCCTCCAGTTACCAGCAATGTAACAAAGAAACAGACAACAAAAATTGCCGCTTTTCTTCCCACAGCCCTCATTAAATAGTTTAAGCCCCTCACCTCAGGCTCTCTTATTTCTGATTTCTTCTCATTAATCAGTTTTGTCCATATATTACCTCCACAAACAATTGATTTACAAAAACAAATAATTTTTACAACTTAATTCTTTTACACAGATTCATTGACTTATTCAATTACACCAAACTGGATTTGAACCCAGCAAAGATGCAGCCAGACTGAAGATGACAAGTCCCCATAGCATAAACACGTACACACACACACCCACCACACATACACACACACACACACACACACACCCCACACACCCACACACACACACACACGGCTAACCCCACTGAAATATTAAGTGTGCACCCTCAATATGCCAGCAGGTAACCAGGAACAGCTTGTGTGTTTTAAGTTCATGGAGCTACTGGTCTCAGCGCGAGTGTATTGGTCCTCACAAACACAGTATAACAGGAATGTGTGTGTGGCGCGCAAAGTTAGAGAGGTTGTTTTAAGCGACGAGGTGGATTCGTCACAGTCACAATAACCATGACATGAAATGTTCATATCCTACAACAGGGATATTCTTCTGGCAAACGGGTAGATAAATAAGGATCTCACCGAATTTGGTGGAAGCTGCATCTCGTTCGTTACATTCGCCATCGTCCCTCTCATTGTCTGCACCTGCGCTTGGGTTCAGAAGCCTGTAAAAGTGCAGTATTTTCAGAGCCCCAAGACCATAAAGTTCCGAGACGCTGATTGGCCATTAAATTCACCTAGCAAAAGTACATGATTGACAGATTCTCTGCAAATGTGGGGCTGTCTGATAGGCGCCCCCAGAACAGAGACGGTAGGAGTCTGTCTGTGGAAATCCACAAATTAATGACAGTAGGTAGGGAAATGTAGTTTATATAATTTGTTTTGCTTATAGGTACACAGTCTAGAGAGTAAAACTGACATTTATGATTTAATTTCTAAAAATATATTTTACGTTTCTCTCTTCTTATCAGGGAGGGCGGTGCCCCAGGGCCCCCTATGGGCCGGCCGCCACTGACACACACCCATCAATTTCAATTAGATGGTGCCGATACTGCACAGCGAGGTATCAGGTATGGGTATCGGTGCAAAAAAATGGAATCAGCACAACTCTACTTATAGCCCCTTTTTTCATCTCTTACAGATAACAATATTAAACATAAAAGGGTTAACAGAACGATAAACTAGCAACAACCAGCAACAACCTGTGTCAGGAAATGGGACCTGATGATTGCTGAGTTTAAGCCCTTTCTGCTTGGGTTCTGTTTCATTTCCTCACTGATGTTTGTACAACCCAACCGCATTTTGATGAGAAAGTGACCCTTTAACCCATAGATTAAAAACATAGTCTTTGTTGGATTTTATTGGTATTTGATTTTACAGGGAAGACACAGAGATAAAAAATGCTCTTGCCGCTGCGAATCTTTGTTTTCGCCACAAACTGAAATATCACAATTTTTCCGAGTAAAATAGCTTGAGCTCAGTTTGAAAGGTTAAAAAGCGTTTTCCATAGATTTACTTGGGTTAAGGTACGGACACAAACTAGAGGTTACAGGTTGATATGTTTTTCTTTAGCTTCACGTGTTTCTACAGTAAACCTCGAGTTTTATATGTAGACTAAATCCTGTTAAATAAAATAAACTTTGTAATCACATGATTACGTATGTGAATACTTCTGCAAAGTACAGGAAGTTTAGATGCAATAGTGGATGAAACTTTGTTTTTTAATCAAAAGCATCAGCCAAACAAAAGTGAAAGCAAAGAAAGGGGATTAGAAGCAATCAGAGAGCAATGAAGGAGGAACAGAGAAGAGAGGAGAAAAGGAGCAACTGCTCTGAGTCAGAACGTGCACGCCTGGTAGAAACCTGCTTAACTTGTAGTCATGCAGTATTGTTTTCCAAGTCAGGTCTGTCAGTCATGCAACACAAACATGTCAGGAATTCAGACACATCCAGTGCAGAAAAACCCAGGGCCAGGTTCTCGGAGAGCAAATGACCTGACCGACAGAGGCTGTTTGTCTGAATAGTAGAGGAAGTAAAGCAACATGCTTGGTTCACCCGGTCCAACCGCATCCTTCATACACATGCATGTGCTCCTTAACACGTGCCATCAGTTTAATCAGAAACTACATGCATACACTGTGCACAGAGTTCAACATGAAGACAATGAAGAGCAGCAGGAGGAGACAAAGTCCCTCCAAGATAAATTTACTAAGTCAGCAGATTTACCAGAAAAGGAAAAACATTAGGTCACATTTACAACAAGATAAAGATATATATGTAATATGTGACTTAATGACATGTCCTTCCAATTCCTGAACCCCTAGATCTGTTTGGATGCAAAAGAGATCTTCTGAACTTACCCCGTCTGTACTGGGCAGTGGCTGGCCATTGATACCCAGGGTGCGAAACGGAGAGTGTGTGGACAGGCGCTTGTCCCATTCACTCTGCCGAGGCTCTGGCACAGCCTCCATGAAGTTCCTCTTCAGCTCACTGATGCTGGCATGGTGCCGGAGCAGGTCCTCCTGAGGTTTATCGAACTCCTACGTGAGTGAGGTAAAAGTCGAGCAGAGAGGGACGAGGTGTTGTGGAAGAAGGTAAAGGATGTGAACAATGGACAACGGCGATGAGAGATGTAGGGGCAGAGCGGGAGAGCAGGAATAAAAGAAAGAAAGAAAGAAAACCATTACATTATTCTGTGCTCTATTGCTCAATCTGGAAATAATTTCTTGCTGATTTCATTAATAAGCAGAAGCAGAGTTAACATGTAATTCTGCAGGGGAAAAATTAGAAGAAATCAATCCAGATGTTTGTACTTCTTCACAAAAGAACAAATGCGCCACTTTTTCAAAGCAGACCATCAGCAGTGCTTTTTCAGGCTTCAAATGAAGTCTGGCAGCTGACTGACTATTAGATTCAAACAAGCCACAAAACGATCAATAAGGGGTTTTAATTCCACAGCATTAGAATTGCAATAGAAAGAATCAGTAAACAGGCCACAAATCAATGGGCAGCAGGGGTAATGACAGCAGACATGGTTGAGATGACTGAAACAAAGCCTTGACAGAGAAGGAAACACGTTCATTGGATGAAATGAACTGATGTGACAGAAGAAATGCTGATTTAGCAACATTTGGCAGCAAGTTGGGATTAAAAACAAGAGATGGTGGCAGTCATGTTGCAAAACCAACTGCAGGCTATTTATTGGAAGCAGATTTGGAGCTTTAAAGCTGTGTTTCTCAGACTATACTGTGGCTACACATCACACAGCAAAGACCTTTAGTTAGATGGTATTCTTTTTACAGGCAAAGATTTTTACTTATAACTGCTGCAAAACTTCAGTGCATTTAAGGTAATTACTGTGACAATGAGCAGAAGCAGAAGCAGGAGAATACTGATGAACAAGATTAAGTCTGTTTCTGGAAAAAACAAAGGGGGCAACTATAAACTAAAGATGCTCCAATCGGAGATATTGTAGGCAGGCACTGATTTCTCTAACAGTACTAATAAAATATTAACTTTATGTTTTATGTATTAAATGAAAAGGGTAATATTTTAAGAACATCAAAATAGGTCTACTTGAAAAAAAATGTGTGACAAAAAACAGGATTTGTGTGTTGTTACAGATTCATTTCCACCATTTTTTGTCAGAATTCCCTTGAAGCTCAATGATTGGGGTCATCTTAGTGTTTGTCTCTTCTCAAACTTCTCATAATAATTTACAGGAATTTAGACCCATTCCGTCTGACAGACCTGGTTTCTTTTCAGCTCTGCCCACATCTATTTTCTATTCGACTAAAAAACAAGTTTTGTGATGACCACTCTTACATGAATTTCTTTGTTGTTAAGCCAATACATAACAAATCTGACAACATGATTTCGGTCATTTATCAACTGGAAGACTGTATGTACCAGAAAGCTATCTTAGGAAGTTTCTCTAATATTTCAATCATGATTTATTCTCAGGTTCCGCCTATTTTGTGAAGATAACCAGTTCATTCTCAAGAAAACCACCCCCATAGCATAATGCTGCCACCGCCGTACTCCAGTGGGGATGCTGTTATCAAACTTCTATGGTTCCCCCCTATTTAAATCAAACTCAACCATGCCCATCATAGCTAACATCTCATGGATCCTTTCATCAGACCGCAGGATATGGGCCAAAATCTTATGGTATTAATGGCGTAGTCCATATGCATACAGGAATCTGGCAATTTCTTGTTCTTTTTTTTTTTTTTTTTTTTTTTTTTTTTTTTTGGAAAACGGCTTCTTTTGACATGCTATATAGTTCGTTATACGGCTAATGTTCACGTCTGGCAAAAAAACAATGCTTTCTAAATGATGTGATCAGATACTGTGATGGTATTTACTCTGATAGAGACTAATGTGGCGCTTCCAGGCAGATGAGAAGTGTGAACTCCCCAAAACTTGTGGCTCCACAGTTTTCTTCTTGTTGTTTCAGCTTGTTTAAAAGTGTTGCCTTCAAGTACATCAGCAAGGAAGGTACTTGAAGCTATCATCTTTTTAGCTCATTAGTGCAAATTAAACCTCTGCAAACTTAGAATGCAGAGACATACTTTGCTTGCTATAACCAAATTGTTAAAAGGCATGGTGGTCTCAGTGTATGTTACTCTCACTCCGTGATGTATTATGTCATGTGAATACCTGATTTTAACTTTATTTGTGGTGTAAGCTGATTTCATAGTGCTTTCACCTAAAAACACTTTAAAAGTTCTTGTTTTACTTAAAAGTCTGGCTAACAATGACTATCGACAGCAAAGGAATCACTGATTTAGGATTGTTATTGTTGTTTTAAAGTTCAGCAGCACTCTCCTGACTTAACCAAGTAAATTTTTCACACAATGACAGTCATCTATCGCCGATGCAAGAATTACTGTGAATAATAGCACATGCAAGCGTGAGATTAACAGCAGCAGCAGCCCGTTTGCCAAAGAGCAAGAAAAACGCAGCTTGAGAGCTCTGAAACAGATACAAACCTCCAGCATTAACAGGCTATGTCTGATATAAATTGAGTCACCCTCAATTTTCTTAGCTCTTTTCTGTGAAGAATGAAAAGAAAAAAAAGTGTGGGTTTGTTTTAGCTTTCCTGTGCGCTGGCATTGCGCCGCCACACGCTGGACATGCATAGAATAGAGTTCAGTAATACAAGAGACGAGCATAGAGGTGTTCATGCAAAATAATTTGGTGCAGTGACCAAAACTGTACTAAACTAGTAATGAAGAAGGACTTATATTGTGAAAATAAGAACAAAAAAAACAAAAAAACACCAGTTAGTCTAAGATCATGCATGTGTGCATTCGAAAGTTTATGACAGCAAGCAAATTTAAACTTCTACTTAGCTGAGGAAAGCATAGTGAATAAATAGGACAGGATTTAGAATAGTTTAAAACCAGATTCTTACATACTCTGTACATAACTGCATTTCTTTTACCATTCAAAAATAAACATTATCTGCTCAAAACCTGCTGAGTGTTAAATTTGACGTATGGAGGCACAACATGGGAAGAGGGTTGCGTTAGTTCTTTTACATGGAAAAATCAGAAGTGGAGAAAAGTACGGCACCGAGAGTCTGACCTTTCGCATTTGCACCCCCTCCACGCTTGTCCTCTCGGTCCTAGACTCATGCTACCCCGGGGAGGGGGGGAGAAGAGAGGAAGACCTGTTAGCACCCTCTGTTGGTTGCACTCATTAAAACCTGTTAGAGGCCTGTGTCCTCCACTAACCTGAATGTCCCCATTGATGGTGGATATCAGTGAAGAGTCTCCCTCCCTCTGCTCCCGCCATGCTGCTGGCTACAGCAGCAAGACACACAGTTTACTCTCAGACACTGAGAAAGTCACCAAGTTCTCTTTCTGTATCGCTAACAACTTTTAAGATACCACGGCTAAGGCAGATCTTGGATAAAATCTTCACCCAAACTGCAAAAAACTATTAGCTGACATATAAATACAGACACTAATCAATTGGAACCCCTGTTAAAGGAGGACTAAAAGCATTTAAACACATATTTTATTACGACGTCATGATTTTGCATCTGAAAATACTAAATATTAGAAAACTAAAGTACATGATTTTGACTCAACATCAGTTATTACCTGGTTTTATTGGGTTCTATTTCATCCCTACTGACCGCCAGAGGGCGGTGCTGAAAGCACTGAATGTTCCCTTCGGGCATGCGCAGTTCGAGTAATTATACCAACAGAGTCACACCTGTGACACCGGATGACCACTCAGAAGCTATATAGCCTGGTGTCATCCTTTGCTCTGCTCCTTTTTTCTTCTCGCAAGCGGTTCGCTAACTTCCCCGTTGTCTGAAGCCCCTGTCTCTTGACCGGAGTTGCGGTTATTCTCCGCCCTCCCAGGGCTGCAACGGGTCGATTCTGAAGATTACGGAAGGTAAGTGAGTTGTTTGCTGGTGATGGTAGCGTCCGCACCCCCTCTCCCGGCTCACGACTTTCGCTTTTTACCTACAGCTTCGTGCTGTTTTGTTCCGAACTGGTGACGGCAGCGTTTTCGCCCCTACTCCCAGTGTGAATAACTTCACTGCCGAAGTTATATACGGCTAACGTAGTTAGCTTCTTTAGTTTGTTGGTGTTATACCTGGTGACGGCAGCGGTTTTCGCCCCCTCTCCCAGTATATTCCCTACTTTTGCATCCTTTTTTTCACCGGTCTGCGATGCTATAATTACTGACGGCCGCGGTTTTCGCCCCCTCTCCCAACCAAGTGTGGTCTACTTCGTTGCCGAAGTTGGAGACGGCTAACGTTGTTAGCCTTTTTTGGTTTGTTTGCAGCCTTCTTCATCGGTCTGCTTAATTATAAATGGTGACGGCAGCGTTTTCGCCCCCTCTCCCAATATCAACCTTTTTTTGCAGCCTTTTCGTTGGTCTGCTCTCTTAATTGGTGACGGCAGCGTTTATCGCTCCTACTCCCTACTTAAGTTACCATACAGCTAACGTTGTTAGCTTTTTTTGTTTATTGCTTTTATACCTGGTGACGGTAGCGGTTCTCGCCCCCTCTCCCGGTATCGGCCGCCTTGTGTCCGCAGCCTCTCTTGTTTTATCCGCTATAATTGGTGACGGCAGCGTTGTTCGCTCCTACTTCCAACTTAAGTTTCCATACAGCTAACGTTGTTAGCTTTTTTGGTTTATTGGTTTTATACCTGGTGACGGTAGCGGTTCTCGCCCCCTCTCCCAGTATCGGCTGCCTTGTGCTCGCAGCCTCTTTCGTTTCTCTGCTGTAATTGGTGACGGCTGCGTTTGCGCCCCCTCTCCCGATTTTCGATAACTTTCTGTTCTTTAAGCCTTGTCGACCTTCGACATGGATGGCTCTCACAGCTGCATAGATTGTGGGGCTGCCCTGCAGGCAGAGGATGGCCACGACCTGTGCCCTACCTGCCTTGGACATGAGCACCTTTTGGAGGCGCTGTCTGAGAACCCCTGTATGAACTGCAGCTTTATGCCCCATGCAGTGAGGGTGGCCCGGTTGGCCCAGTTGTGCCCCCAGGAGGGCTCGGACCTTCCGCCCTCTGGGCAGGTGGTTCCCCCCAAGCGTTCTAAGCACCGTGGTGGGACCACAGCATCTGTGCCCCTCCCCCGGAGGAAGCGGGCCAAACCTGACCAGGGCCTGTCCACAAGGGTGGAGCAGTTGTCAGCAGAGCTGGCAGAGATGAAGTCCTTGTTGCAGACACGGCAATCTGATCCCTCGCTCCCAGTGGTTGGGCTCTCTTCCCCACCAATGCCCGAGCTGGTTGTAGAGGATGACGTTATCTCTCTGGCTGCCTCCGCTTCTCATTTTAGAGATGAGGAGGAGGCAGGGTCCTCCCAAGCCTCTGAGGCTGGTTCATTTTCATCTCAGAGTGCGGTTGGAGAGGCCGGTGACGGTTCCATGCGGGAGGTCATGTCTATGGCCCTGAAGCAGCTGCAGCTGGAACTCCCACAAGGAGAGGCATCCAGCTCTGGCAGTGCTTTTTTCCGACGTGGAAGGGCTCCTACTTCTTTTTCTGTACCTCCATCAGAGGAGTACCTGAAGGAGTTACACGCCTGTTGGCGGGAACCGAGAGCGCTGTCGCGTCTCTCCTCGGATGGTCGTGTATTAGCTGCCATGCATGAGTCAGTGAAGGCCGGCCTGGACCGTATGCCAGCAATTGAACCAGCTGTTGCTTCACTGATTGTGTCACCAGATGAAGCCCTGCGTCCTGATGTCCGGTGCCCGCGGACTCAATGTCGGGTTACAGATGACCTCCTCTGTAAGGCGTACAATGCAGGAGCGCGTGCTGGCCGCCTTGGCAATTCCCTGGCGCACCTCATGTTTGCCCTGTCTGCATCTGTTCAGGACACTGGTGGTGCAAGTGCGGCGATTGGTTATAGTGACGCAGCGCTGCAGGCCTTCGCGCTGATGACCAGAGAGCTTGGACGGGTCATGTCTTTCCTTGTCCAAGCTCGTAGACAGGTCTGGTTGGCACAGTCTCCTCTGACTGAAGCATGCCGTAGGACCCTCAGGGGTGTCCCGGTTGTACCAGGGGAGCTGTTTGGATCAGCTGCCTTGGAGGCGCTGGAACGGACTGCTCAGGCACGTCAGACTAGCCAGCAGCTTTCCGGCCTTCGCAGGAGCATACCTGCCTTTCCCCAGCGTTCGGGCCGCCCTGCCACTACCCCCAGCGTTCAGCCACGACCTCAGACCGGTGGCAGACCTGTTGGTTCCTATCCCCATGATGTGCGGCAGAGACCGAGAAGGGACTTTCGTGAGCCAGTCTGCCGCCCTGTTAGACAGACCCGGGCCTCAAATCCTGGACGCCCTCCCCCCAGAGCCCCCAGGGGCCGTGGGGATAGAAGATGATGCCACCGGGCCAGCCGTCGGACATTTTTCCCATCAGCAGCTGAATTTCTGGGCTGCTCATGCCGTAGATCCATGGGTGGTTGCCACCTTAACCAATGGCTACAGGCTCCAGTTCCGACGGCGGCCCCCCCTCTCACACCGGGTCAAGATGACTGTCATCACAGACCCGGTGAAATCTCAGGCACTAGACCAGGAGCTTTCCGCCCTCCTGGGCAAGGGGGCAATCGAGTCTGTAGATCCTCTGCAGCAACCCAGAGGCTACTACTCCACATACTTCCTTGTGGCCAAGAAGACCGGCGGTTTTCGCCCCATTTTAGATCTAAGGGGACTGAATCGGTACCTGAAGGTCCTTCCCTTCCACATGCTCACCATAACAGAGGTCCTTCAGACCATTGTGGCGGGAGATTGGTTTACATCAGTAGATCTGACAGACGCCTACTTTCACGTGCCTATTGCGGCAGAACATCGCCGTTTTCTCAGGTTCGCCTATCGGGGGCGCCATTGGCAATTCCGGGTGCTCCCATTCGGGCTCTCCCTTTCCCCGAGGGTGTTTACTCGATGCGTGAAAGCAGCCCTCTCTCCTCTACAGGCCTCCGGAGTCAGGATTCTGCCATACCTGGACGATTGGCTTCTTTGTGCTCCCTCTCAGGTAGCTGCCTCTCGGGATACGTCCCAGCTTCTACTTCATGTGTCAATGTTAGGCCTCAAAGTCAACTTGGCAAAGAGTTGTCTGGTTCCATCTCAGACAACCACCTTTCTTGGGATGCATCTGGACTCTGCTACCATGATGGCCCGTCCATCTGTTCACAGGGTGGACGACATACTCCAGCTTGTCCGTCGATTCAGACTGGGCAGGGAGTTTCCCTACATCACCTTCCTGCGAATGCTGGGCAAACTGACATCAGTCACTCGTGTCGTGCCCTTAGGGCTGCTCCTTCTGCGTCCTTTGCAGCGATGGCTCAACAGCTTTCGCCTAGACGCCAGGCTGCACAGGCATCGCAGGCTAATGGTGACCAGGAGCTGCCTCCATGCCCTAGCTCCTTGGCGAGACGGGACCCTTTTGTCCAGTGGTGTTCCAATGGGGCTAGTAGTGTGTCGAAGGGAGGTGGTCACCACGGATGCCAGCCTCATGGGCTGGGGTGCCGTGTGGCAACACAGAGCTGTTCGGGGTCTCTGGGACCCAAGGGAGCGCACCGAACACATAAATGTGCTGGAGCTGCGGGCTGTGCACATGGCCCTCAGGTGCCTTCTGCCCCACCTAGAGGGAAGGAACGTGCTGATTCGGACAGACAACACCTCTGTTGTTTATCATATAAACCACCAAGGTGGCACCAGGTCAGCACGTCTCTTGAAGGTGTCGAGGGATCTCCTGGAATGGGCGTATCCCCGTCTGTGTACCCTGCGCGCAGCGTATCTGCCAGGACGGCAGAACCAGGTTGCGGACTCTCTATCCCGCCAGGCACCTGCTCCGGGAGAGTGGTCTCTTCACCCCGACGTAGTGCGCATAATCTGGAACCTCTTTGGGCAGGCAGAGGAGTCGACCCATTGCCCCCTATGGTATTCCCTAACCGGGATGGCGGGCGCACTGGGCCAGGATGCACTGGCTCATCCATGGCCGCAGGTTCTCCTGTATGCCTTTCCACCCCTCTCACTGGTTTGGCCGACTCTACGGAGGGTTCTCGAGCAGGGCCACAGAGTGTTGCTGGTAGCTCCGTTCTGGCCAGCGCGGCCGTGGTTCCCGCTGCTTTGGAGTCTGTGTCACGGTACTCCATGGCGTCTTCCAGCAAGGAGGGATCTGCTGTCTCAGTTGGGGGGACAGATATGGTACCCCAACCCTCAACGTCTCCAGCTGTGGGCATGGCCCCTGGGAGGCTGACTGGGTGTTCAGACACCGTGAGACACACCGTATTGAGTGCTAGGGCTTCCTCCACTCGGCTGCAGTATGCTAACAGATGGCGCCTTTTTCTCAGTGGTGCTCTGCCCACAATGAGAACCCGCTTTCCTGCTCGGTGCCCACTATTTTGGAGTTCCTCCAGTCTCTCCTTGATAAGGGCCGCTCTCCTTCGACCCTTAAAGTGTATGTTGCAGCAATTTCATGTCTTCACCGAACTGTTGACAACCGTACAGTGGGGCGCCATGAACTGGTTTCACTTTTTCTGCGTGGTGCTCGTAGGTTGTGCCAGCGGCCAGCCCCACGAGCCCCAGATTGGGATCTGCCATTGGTTCTCACAGCTCTGTGCCACCCTCCATTCGAGCCTTTGGCACAAGCAGAACTCAAGTGGCTTTCCTGCAAGGCTGCTTTCCTGATGGCTATCGTCTCAGCTAAGAGGGTCAGCGAGCTACATGCTCTTTCTGTCAGCCCTAGGTGTATCAGGTGGAATCCAGATGGCTCTGGTGTTACCCTGTGGCCTAATACTGCGTTTGTGCCTAAGGTGTTGTCTCCTTTTCACCGTAACCAGCCATTGCGGCTCGCTCGGTTTCAGCCTCAATCTGGTACAACTGAGAATGAGTCGGAGTTGTTGTGCCCAGTAAGAGCGTTGGAGGCATACATTGCAGCCACCGCCAATCTGAGACGCTCGGACCAGCTTTTCCTATGCTATGGGGGTCCAAGGTTAGGCTGTCCTCTTTCTAAACAGCGTCTGTCCCATTGGATTGTGAGTGTCATCTGCCACGCCTACGCTGCAGGTCACTGCTCCCTGCCAGTCGGTGTGAGAGCACATTCCACCAGGAGCGTCACCGCTTCCTGGGCTGCTTTGAGAGGGGTTCCGCTGGAAGCTATATGTGCTGCTGCTTCATGGGCTTCCCCAACCACCTTCACCAGGTTCTACAGTGTCAATGTGGCTGCCCCTCATCCCCTGGGTCAGGTCCTTTTACAAGGTTCTGCTGGGCCTCATCTGTGAGGTATGTGCTCAGGATTCCTTGTGACATCGTTGGCATTAGTCATTCAGTGCTTTCAGCACCGCCCTCTGGCGGTCAGTAGGGATGAAATAGAACGAAAGTTACGTATGTAACTAAGGTTCTATGAATCCCGGATGACCGCCAGAGCTTCTCTGTCACTCAGAATCCTTGCTTTTGCGAGAAGATTCTGTAGGAGCAGAGCAAAGGATGACACCAGGCTATATAGCTTCTGAGTGGTCATCCGGTGTCACAGGTGTGACTCTGTTGGTATAATTACTCGAACTGCGCATGCCCGAAGGGAACATTCAGTGCTTTCAGCACCGCCCTCTGGCGGTCATCCGGGATTCATAGAACCGTAGTTACATACGTAACTTTCGTTTTTACATCCATCTTTTCCCAATAAACCAGAACTTTGTATTTTCTTTGTTTTATTATTCTTCTTTAGAAACACTCTTTAGATTATATTTAGATTTGTGATGGCATAACATGTTTTTTTTTCTGGCTTCACTCTCTTAGATAGCTACTGATGGTTTCTATGGACACTGTGCAGTTCTCAAACAGTGAACACCCCCCACTAAATACATGTATTACAAAGGTAATCAAATCAAAGTTTTTATTTTTTACATTTCAGCCTGATATATGCTACTGAGATATAAAAAATGATTCATTTTTTTATTTTAATTTTTGATCTGATCTTTACCACAGATGTCACAAGTATGTTACATACATTCTTCATTTTCCATCCCAGATGGAAATATAGGGTAGATAAAAGAGCTTAATACCTTGACCTCAGACAAATCCTCCATTTTTGAAGGCTCTGCTGCTTCCACTGTGACCTCCAATTTCCTCTCTTCCAGGCGGCTGGTCTTTATGGGGGTGGAGGTCTGGGGCTGGTCCAAGGGGGCCATTGGGATCCCTGCCTCTGCCAGGGCAGCCTGGGAGAAGACTGGAGCGCTGACCGGACGTGTGCCCCTCTGTGAGCTCACAACTACAAAAAAAATAAATAAATAGTTATAATAAGAAAATGTGTTTGAAATTCTAAAGGCAACATTTAATAATTAAGATATTTGAACTCTTCATTCAGCATTTATAAGCCCAACTGAAACAGTAATCAACCATACTTACTGCATTAGGTCCCCCTGTAATTAGGTAGATAAAAATACAGCAGGCGTATACTGTACCTGATGGGTTTTTTAGTGCTTTTGTTTTTAAAGCTCATATAAGAATGAAAAGTAAGCAAGAAGCAGACATCCTTGAGGTGGAATAATGAGGCAGCATGTTTCAATCGAAATAATACAAAGAGCGCATAAAAGCAGTTAAGTCGCATTTCAGACGTATTGATGACGAGGTATTCAAACGTCTATAAAGCATTATTTCGTCAACCAGCAAAAACTGTCCATTAGTAAATGTGAGCAGATACCTGTGCATCAGCCAGTGTATCCAGGTAGCAAATTAGTATGTTTTTATAAAGCTGAAAAACCCATAAAGGAGCCTTAAACAAAAAATGCACTCCACACTAAACAGTAAAAGTACCTGACTTTTTGGCATCAGATTCTAGCAGGACAAACCAATCATCAGTGACAAGTGTTTGCGTGAGAGGCTGCCTTTCTTCCAGGATCCGCATCTCAAATTGTGGCTTTTTAGGAATTTCAGTCCTTGTTGTGGCCACAGGAGCTGGAGCTCTGACCTCTGATGGGAGCCTGCTTCGTCCAGGAGCAGCGACTGATATAGATATAAGACCGGGCGTTATTGTGGTAAAGAACTACAGAACATCGATAGCCTTCAGGGCCTTCATATCACCATAAAACTGTTAGGTTTGACATTGACAACTTCACGCCAAGAAGAATATAAACAAGCAATATTTAGCTGAAGCTCTAATTCATTGTGTACCTGATGTCTTTGGAGTGCGATCCAGAAGAACAAACCAATCATCTTCCACTTTTTTTTGTGGTGGACGTTCCTTCAATGCTTCTTTTTGCTGCCACTTCTCATCCACTATAGAAACCCTCTGCTGTTTTCTTTGCTCTGGGACTACAAAGGTTTTAGCCTCTCTGACTTCAGGAACAAGGAGGTCCAGTTGCTTCACAGCCACTGACACACAATCAAAAGGAAAAACTAAGATAAAAGGTACATAAACTATTCCTCTGTAACTTTTTCTTCCTATCTGTAAATGCACATGTACTGTGTGCCATATATCTGACGGAGTTCTGTTTATTCTTGAATGTCGAGCTATGGTGATGAATTCCTGTACGAGTTAAGAAGCTGTGTACCAGAATCTACTGTTTCAGCCAATAAAAATGTTTTTACTGCAATAGCCACATGTTAAACCAGTTAGATCAGCACTAAGATAGTTAAGACAAAAAATAGTAACAAATTGGCCAAGTTTATACAGTCTAAAAACAGAAACGTAGACTTCTATAACCCATAACCTTACAGTAAGCACCAAGTATCAGCTCACTTGTGGAGCAAACAACACACCCCATCAGGAGTGATTCTGGCTCATAAGGACACGGAAATACAAACAGCAGAGTACCTGGTTCTTTTGCTGCATGAAGCAGTTCAAACCAATCATCATCCACAGATTTTGGTTGTAGCGGGCTGACTAAAGTCACAGCAGGTCCCCTTAAATCCTCCATGACGGCTTTTGGTTTTGGTTCACTGGGTACGGGTATTTCAACCCTCCGAACCGCAGCAACTGACACAGAAAAATTAGTATTCAAAAACTTTAAGCAAATAGCACAGAGTACACACTGCCTTAAAGGGATAGTTCGGTATTTTTTACATGAATCTGTATGGCATCCCGATCACCAGCGGCATGCAATCACACTGACTTACCCCTGGCAGCGTCCTGTGAGCAGAGTTATCGTCCAGTTTTGGTCAAGCCGAAAGTAGTCCTGCAGGTTTTTAGGAACAGCGAAATAAAACTTTTCTCTTCCCAAAACATTATGTGTCCAAAAGAGTGATATTTTTGCATCCCAAAAACATTGTAGTGGAAAAAGTCACACGTCGTTATCAATTGGTCCTATTTTCTCTCTGTTCGTATCAGTGCGCGCCGTCATTCAGACAGCGAGCCCAACAACAGCCATGTCTCCTTCCTCTGCTCACAGGACGCTGCCAGGGGTAAGTCAGTGTGATTGCATGCCGCTGGTGATCGGGATGCCATACAGATTCATGTCAAAAATACCGAACTATCCCTTTAAGCTAATTAAAAATACCTGGTGGAGAGAGTATGCGTTTCTCTTGAGCAATGTCAAACAGGTCAAGCCAATCATCTTCTAGGTTTGATAGAGTTGGAGGTCGGCTTGGCCTTATTTCAGAAAAACCAGTACCATCTTGTCTGCTGGCCGTGCCAATTATCACCTCCTCTTCTGCTCTAATCTCAGTGGTTCTCGCTTCCTTGTACGTTGTAATCTCTGTGGTTTTTGCCTCGACTTTAAACGTCTTTGTCTCTTTAAACGTCATAGTCTCAGCAGCGGCAACTGGCACACACAAAATGTCCAAATGGTTGCGTTACAATTGCGTCAAAAAAGCTGAGAAATTTAAAAGATTAAAATACAATGATCTTGTACCTGTAGGCACAATAACTGGCGTCTCAAACACAATGGCCCAGTCATCTTTTTCTAGAGGCTGCAAAGGCTGTGGGCTAATCGGATATGATGACCTCTGCTCTACAATTTTTGCTTCACCTGAAACACTTGGAATGGCTTTGGATGTTTGTGGCACAAAAACTGGAAAAAATGTAAATTTAAATTGAAAAATTGTAATTTCTCAACTCCTATCACACGTATTGTAGTAATTTCATTAAAAAAGGCATCTAAAGGTCAAAGTTACCTGGAGGTACATAAGGCTTCACTTTGGGAATTGTGTCCAGCAGCAGATACCAATCATCATCTCGGTTGCTCACTGGATGCAATATTGTCTGTTCTGGAAGCTTCTTTGTGTGTTTTTTAATCGAGATCTCTTCAACTATAACCTCCCTCCTCTCCTCTAACTCAGTCACAGGCATGGTTGGCATGCTTTCTCTATGAAGAACCTGAACATACTCAGCCTTTGAAGCTATGGATAAAACAAAAAAAGTCGAAGACATACTGTCAGTAAAATTGGAATGTCACACTCCATTTGTTAAGCTTCAGCATCTCAGGCTCTATTTCTTTAATTGATTAATAGCCGCCTACAGATAGAAGTTAAATATTTCAGTACAGTTTCCGATATTTCACTCGACAAAAGGAACTACAAGTTGAACAACAGGATTTCTAAATAAGATAACAAGGCAAGAAAAATGAATACATGAAAGGGAAAGAAATATTAGTAATACCTGTTTGCATAAAAGATGATCCCCTATCTGGAAGGTCAAACAGCACAAACCAGTCATCTTCAGTTTGTCTTGGTATTAGTTTTATTTCTGCATCCTCTACAAAAATCTCCATTCTTTTTTCTCTCAGATCAACAGCTGGGACTGCTTCAATCTGGGACTGGGAAACACCCCCTGCTAGACTCACTCCAACGACACCAAAAGCAAAAAGAAAAAACTTCAGTCTTTCCTGCCTGTATAATGAACAGTTTGCTGCACTTAAACTGCCAGTCAGTGCGGATGTTTTCCAGTACCTGGTTGTACATTTTCAGTTTGTTTAGAAGGAACATCCAGCGACACAAACCTATCAACATCCCTCTGAGTCACAGGTTGGATTTCTTTATCGCTTTGGGGAGCCTGTTGTATTACCAGCCTCTCCTCAACTTTGTAATCTTCTGAAACTTCAACCACAGAGACGACCCTTTCTTTATCAACCTGGGCTTCCTTAATGGTTACTGATAAAAGGAACCAGGAGAAGATTTCCTCAATCAGCGGCAGTTCACACATTTAATCAGCCAGCAAGTAGATTACAAAGCAGAAGCACGAAAACAGTAAAACCTTTATTAAGCATTACCTGGTTCTATGTAGGGGCTTTCTCTTGGAATACCAGCCAACAACATAAACCAGTCATCCACCTTTTCCATCAGCGTCGGTCGTTGCAGTTCCTGAATTCCCTCTTCTCCTACCTGTCTCTTCTCCACTGAACTCAAATATTTACTCTCATCTACAGTAGTGATTAATTATGAGGGTAACATGCAAAAAAAAGAAATACCGACTTAACATGGGTGGTAATGTGTGCCACAGGCTGTAAAAGCGTTTTCAAAAGCAGTAAAGTCCAAATGCGAGGTTATCTCATCCGCAGGGAGCACAGCAGCAGCAAGCACAAAGTTATTCAATGAACTGAACTAGTTGGTCAATGTGTTATTCATATTTGCCGCATCACTTATCTCACGTAAAACGGTTAGCATATTAGAACGATTAGTAGAGGTGCCATATAGTTTTTAGAGCAGCATACTGTACCTGATGGGCTGGCTATTACTTGGGTTGGAGGACGGTAAAAAAGCAGGTACCACTCATCGTCATTTGCCCTCTGAAGTGGATTTCCATAATCGGGCATCTCTATAACCTCCCTCTGAGTCAATTGTTCTAAATTCCCATCTGACCTCTCACCCTCACCAATAACAGTCACCATCTTCTCGCCTCTGTGTTCAACCATCTTCAGAGTCACAACAGAAGTTGCTCCAGAAACTCCTGCAGCGTCAAATGTTTCCTGTACTTCTTCCAGCCATTCCCTTTCCATCTTCTGCATCTTTTCCTTCAAACTATCGTCTAATTGATTCAGCTCGTTTTCCTCTACTGGGATCAAACCTTTGAAAAAAACCTGCTTGATCTGCTCTCCCAGTTCATCCTCATCATCGTCTATGGTCTCCAGCCTCTTCACATATTTCTCTAATACCACCTGATCCAAATCACCCTCTTCCGCCTTTAACCTTTCCACCTCTTCCTGCCCCAGATCATCTTCAACCATCCTCAGAATCTTCTCCGTCATCTCCCCCGTTTCTTCAAGTCTTTCCTCCAAGTCCCTCACTTTCTTCAGCTTCTCTTCCAGATCTTCCATCTCTGCCAGTGCATCTATTAAGACCACAGATCTCTGCAGTCTTTCAATGACTTGTTTGGTAGTGTCTTCCTGTTTGTCTACTGATGTGACAAGCTCCTCCACAAAGATCTGAGGCTGAGTTTTACGAGATGCTGAGAAGAGCACAAAGATACAGCTAACGTCAAACTTTAAATAGGAACAATAATCTGGATCATAAGGCAGGCTGCTGGTCAGTTTTACTAAGCAGGATAAAAAAAAAAGAAAAAAAAAAAGTCACAAATCCCCAAAACAACTCACACAGAGTCTTTTCTTCAAACTTGGCTAAGAATCGGTCGAAGTACAGGAACCAGTCGTCCTGCTGTGATGGTGCAGGTTGATAAAGGCGGTCCGAGGAGGAGGAGGACGCCAAGCTGGGTTTGACTGACATCAGAGAAATTATATACATCTTTGAACCAGAGAACCAAAATCCACAATCTTCAGATGTTTGCATGTAGAGTTGATAAATACATTTCATCCTATCAAGGCAACTGGAAGGTACTTGATATTTTTTCCATCTCTTGACTCTTTTTGAATCATTACACAAAATCTAAATTATTAAAATCCTTTTTCCTCATTTCTTTTTAAAATAAAACCTCTCCAACATTTAAGCTTTAATTAATTAAATTTAAGTATAAATTTCCATCCAAAGTATTTTGAATATGCTGGTGAAGATTCTCAGTCATCCAGGTGATAGTCATTCCAAAAAAAATCCACTGGACTTTGCTTCCATGTTTAAAGACGTTTCACTTCCCATAAGGGAAGCTTTCAATTCAAAATGTCAGAAGTAGCGTAGAGTTAGAGGATTCTAAGCCAAAAACGTGTCTTGGCTTAGAAAACATGCAAAGTGAACCAGAAGAAAGGGTCCGCCCCTTAGTAATGGGGAGTCATTTTGGATTCTTTGTTAGCCTGCAATACCTGGGCCATGCCTCTGAAAGGGGGGTCGTTAGGGGCAATTGCTGGAAATTTGGAACTGTTGAATTTTGAAAATTTTAGAAGTAGACTATTTATAAAACATTTTTGTTATGAAACGATTTGCCTGACAAAGATGACCAATGATAGGATCCAAGTGCATCCTGCACGCAGAAGGAAACAAAGAGCAACCAAGGCAAGCAAGGACTTTTCCCAAATACAGAAATGAGGTAAATAAATAACTTTCTATAAGTATTCTAGGAAATAAAAACAATGAACTCCTAAAAGTCATGTTGACTGATTACTATGGACAGGATTAATTATTAAGTTAACACAAATATTGAAGAAAACAACTAATAAAGAAGGGTAAACACATAATGATAACTCCAAAGTTCTAATAAGTGCTATAATTAAGCTATTTTCCTGTTCAGTATTTGCAAAACAGTATTTATGCGCAGTGTATCTGTGGGAATCGAATAGTTACCCATACATAAATAAACCACAAGTTTTACGCTTAAAACAGATACAATGTTTTAAAAGATTACAAGATAGAAATGTAGAAAAGGTGTTGGCTGTATAATTGCAGATACCTGGCTGTTTCACAAAATCAAAAGTCTGGACAGCGGCTACAGAAGGTTCCCGATACAGAAGGTCAAACCACTCTCCTTCCTTTATTCCCTGCTGTTCACCAATGATTTGAGTGCTGCCGTCTGTGGTCTCAGTGCCATTCCGGGATATTGTGACTGAATGAACAAGCTGCCCTTCCTCTGAGGACTGAGTGGAAGTCTGCTCAGACTCCCCTCTGGCTGTGAAGAGATGGCGAGGCGATTGAAGTTATGGTATGGTTCAGAACATTACGACTGTTACGGATGCTTCAAGCAGGTTTTTAACTTAGTTGGATGCAAGCAGTTTTATCCCACTGTAGGACTATTGCAAGCCAATATGATGAGGTTAGTGCCAGCAAGATGAAATGGCTCGTTTATCTTCTTAAAAAAATGCAGGGTGGCAAATAAAATTTCTTTGAACAACCTTTATTAATAAAAACTGGTGCAAAAGTGACGGGTAGGTTGTTCAGTTAAAATGTAGTATAAGGTGATAGTTAGAATCAGGTCCAGTTTTCCACCTTAAAAATGGGGAAGAGAAACTCCAACACTGGATATGACTGAGAACTGGGGTAAGAGAAGAAGCTCATGTTCATTTTACAGTGCAAAGCAGCCAAAAACAGCCAGGAGTCAAGTTAGGGTAAGTCAAAATATAAATAGTTACCAAGCTGAAAAGCTGTGTTTAAAAAAAATATGAAAGTAAAAACAAATGAAAACCGGTTTGCATATCGATAAGTTATTAGGGCGAAAGCATTTAGCACTAAACCAGCAGCTTATGCACTTCATGCACATCCCGATACCTGGAAATTCAGCAGAGGGCCGGGACGTTTCTGCTGCCATCAACAAAGACCAATCATCAACCTCAGACCTGCATGATGCAGAGAGTAGCTGCAGAAACTGGAGAGTCTGATCTCCAGCTGCAGAAGCGAAACAAGTCAGACAGCTGCTTCTCAACCCTTGTAGCAACAAAACTATTTCAGACACACAGTTTCACCTACCGCCGTCTAAGTTACGTGACAACCTCTTGCTGGCAGAGCGTGTGAAGCGAGGGGCTGGCCGGTCGATCATGGAGCTGGCCTGTCGGGTTTGGGCTTGAGTACGGCCGCTATACCTGAACTTGGAACCCAGGACAAGAAAACGGCGGGAGGATGGAGGCTCCACGGAAGGAACCCTGAGAAGGAGAGACATTGTTCTTTCAGTTCTTTATTACTCAAACTAATAAAATTCAGAACTAAAATAATAAAAATGTATCACTAAGCAATGTGACGTTAATGAAGTAAAATTTGAGTTGACCCTTGTAGATTGCCTTCCTTGTGTAGGCTTCCATTTACAGTCAATTGGAGAACTATAAACTCAGCTGTTTACCACAGTTGTGTAAACCATAATATCACATTTATCTATTGAAATCCTTTTTTTTTTATTAGTCTTACAATAAATTCTGATACACTAAATATGGAAATAAACCATTGTAATACACCACACTGTGTGTGATGTATCTATAAAGGAGTTGAACATTTTGATTATTTATTGAAATACCAAAAACCTTAGAAGTCTAATGCATAGAGTAGGAAGATAAGTCTGCAGCTTTTCCACTGCAGATGTAACAATTATTAACCTGCAGTTTTCACTTAGCCTGCCATCAATTAGAGGATAAAGTAAAGCTGCTTATTATCTTTTGTTCTGAGGAAAAAAGGTTTCCATGAAAGTGAGTTAAGTTCTTTTTTTTTACCTGAAGAAAGTATGATGCTCAACGCAAACTTTCCAAAGCTTCTTTGAGGCTTTGTAGTTGGGAAGCTTGAAGCCAATGGTGCTCTCATACTGCTCTTGCTGCACAGGAAGAAAAAAAAAAACAAAATAAAATAACTGGTAGCAGCCCATCTATCAAACAACAAAAGTCATCAGTAGGACGCCAAGTCTAGTTTTAATCAAATAATGGGTGAGAATGGATGTACCTCTGACGCTCTGATTTTAATGAAGAAGCTGCTTCGTTTGTAAGAGATTTTGAGCACTTTGGGCCACGGGAAACGGTTGATCCTCAGCTTGTCCTTGTAAACCATCAAACCACTGGAGCAAACACCTAGTGTGATGTCAACACCATCCAGATCCTGCATGCAAGAAAAAAAAACAATGTTATCTCCTGGTACTTACACAAAACTGTCACAAGGGAGCAGTCTTTCTTTCCTAATTAATTTAGTCTGAAGTCACATGGTTTGAAATGTTATAATCCTTAAATTTTTTATCTCCAAGGGACTTGACATTGATTTTGTCATTAAAGCTTAATGATGCAAAACATGATGGCTGTTGCAAAGTATTATCAAGCATTTTAAAAAAGGAAGACATTACATAGAAATGAGAACATTACAACAAAAAGGAAAGCTTTTTTTTTTCTTATTTGAAAAATTTTTTTTTTTACCTTGGCTTGGTGCAGATCAACTCCATACATCGCAAGTTTCTTGGCATTTTCCAGAAACAGCAAATCTGCTTGGGCTGGACTCATTGACCTTAATATGCAAGGGAGGAAAAAGTATTTTCAAAGAAGATTCATCTAAAAGGTTAAAACAAAGATGTTCCCTGTTGGGCTGAGAAACAATAAACCTACCGGTACTTAATAAGTGCAATGAAAAGTATTTGCTAATAAAGCTCTATTCCTTTAAATGATTGTCTCTAACTCTTTAATGACCTGTATGTTCGGTGCAGCTCCATCACTTTTTCCTCCAGCTCCTTGGTCTGCCCCGGTGCCAGGTTTAGATCTTTCACATAATCAGTCCCATGGAGCTCCGGGTCATATTCTCCTAGCTCTGACTGGGCCGTGTAGGAGCCCAGCAGGGACAGCGTGACAAAAGAACAAGGAAGAACCCCAAGCATGATGTCCTTCCTGAGCTGAAGACACAGGAAATATCTGCAAAAGAAATAAAATATATAGATATGAAAACACTTTAAACAGTTCAAACAAACAAACAAAAAAAGCACGATCTGAATTGTGAGCGATGTTTGGCATTTTTGAAGTAAGGTTTAAAAGAGTTTAAAATGTTTAAAAAGCATTTAATATCTTTTTCTTAACTTTTGTCTTACAGTAGCTCCAATCTTAAAAGTATCAGCACCTAAATTCAAGAAACTTGAAACAGTTGCTACATTTAAATTGGGTAATATTTTACACAGAAATCAATGGTAATAGGTTGGTCCATCACTGGTAAGTTGCTGCCCATCTTGATAAATTGCTAATGGTCCAAATTCCCTTTTAGCCACATGGATAAAAAAAAAAAAAAGATGATACAATTTATCCTATTATTTAAGGTTAAACATTATATAAGTCGATGCAAGGAGCTGTAATGAAATTTGTTCCTAGGACCTTCTGAGATATCAGGGAGAAAATGTTATCAACTGAAGAAAAGAAAAAAAAAAACACAGAATAAGTCCAATAAGCCTTGTTTTCTGTCACGCCATTCAGTGTTAGCACAACTGATATAACAGACAGGAGAAATGGAGCACCAAGGCCAAGACAAGATAAGTAAAGCTGGGTTACAGCCAGACCCCAACATTCAGTCACTGCTTCAAGAGCTTATTAGGATGAGTTTTGCTAATCTTTAGTTAGCCGGTGTGTGCTATGTTATCACGTGTTTATCGTTTGTGATATGCCCCGTCCCTCTGGTTTTACTGGATGTAAAATCAGCGCATGCTCCGCATGGAGAGACAGTGCTGCAGCGTCTCCCAGCCACCTTATTCCACAGGGAGCGTTTTCAGAGCAGAGCGAACTTCACGCTCTAGTAGTGAACATCTAGGCTTTAAATAGAACAACAAGTCAGTAAAGTGTTTATTTTGCTAGAAATACCAGCGACCCATGTGTCTGCTTTTATTTTATTACTTTATCTTATTTTTTTCTTTGTATCTATTGTTGGTGAGTTTAAATATATAGTTGTTTTTTTTTACTCCTTTTTCAATGCTCGTATTAGCATTTAATTTACTGTATTAATACAACTTTTACTAAAAAAAAAAAAGTCCAAAATATACAATTCCATATCTTTTATATGTAAACTTAAAGGGATCTGCTTTCCTTTTCATCAACTGACTTCTAGGCTTAACGATCCCCGCCTTGGACACGTAAAAAAACGTGGCAGTGCACCAAACGGAAGCACCGCGGTTCCACCTCCTTACACAGCATAAACTAAGGTGGTACATTTCCAAGGGTAAATATTTTAGTGTTGAGTTAAGGATTTAAATTGCGTCTACTTTTATGGTTATTGCATACAGCTGTTTGCATTGATGTTGGGTTTCCTCCTCTGAGAGGAAATTTCACCCCTTACCTTCTGGTTAAAGACTGGAATACTACTTGAAAACGGCGCCATTTAATTCATGTTCTGCTGCAGCACATAATAGGAGCAACCTCTTAAAGCTTTGATTAAGATCCTTTAAATTGATAAAGTATTTCAAATATGTCTAGAAATATACACTTCACTGAATGTTAAATGAAAGCATCCTTTTTATAATGACTTTTTACAATGTGTTAGCCAATAGTTCATGTGGGATGTTAACACATTGCTGATGCTTAAGCTGCCTTCATGTGGTATCATGATTATAGTAAATACCAAAAATGACATCAGAAATGCTGTTGTAATTTCCACTGGAAAGTTGGTATAACTTTATATCAGAGTTGCAGAGATGAGGTAAACTTTGACGTTTCAACATAGTGGAGAGCTGCGAAACGATTTTGTATGATGAGTAATGAGTTGGTAAACGTTCTGACCTGTTATGGTTGTATCTTACACAATGATGTGACTTTTTTTTTTTTATATAAATCATATTTAAACTTTTGTAGTTTTTAAAATGACCGTTTGATTTGATCAGATGCTCACTAGTAGTTTGGGTTGCTCTGTAATGCATGTTCCATAAGGAAGATTAAAAGCAACAGAGAGAAATAATTAAATGTAATGAAAAGAATTACCCTGAATGGCCAATGCCTGTTCTTGTATTTACATTTAACAGTTTCAGCTGTCACCAGCATTTTAGGGGTTTGTTTTTCATTTACTGGTTTGGAAGGATTTCCATTTTCCTTATCGTAATTAACCCGGAGCATAAAGTAATGTTTTCCTACGGAGACATTTTAAAGTAAAGAAGTTGTTAATTTATCTTAAGCAACTCTCTAGTATTGATTATTTAATCCTAGAGTGTTGATTTAACTCTGAATTGTCAGTTAAAATAGAAACTCTGACACAGCGTATTTAACTATTTTGAAAGTGTTAATTTGACTCTTGAAATTGTGGAGCTATATAAACCATGAAAAGGTGTTAAAATCAGCTCTGTGGGAGTTTATTAAACTCTGGTATCAGAGGTATTATCCAACAGTTTGGCTTGCATCCTACAACCTTTTAAGACAATCTTACTTCAAAAATCCAGAACCATCTTTTTAACATCATCACAGGTCAGCTTATAAAAGATGACATTTTAGCTTAGGTGATATAGTAAGTGCTTGCTCAGGTTAAAGGAGAAGTTCGGTTTTTTACACTTTAAGCCCATTTTCTGTAGTGTCCAGGATGAAATCGAATGATCGACACCAAAAGTTTGACAATTGCTCCTGTCTCTGCTTTTTGGCTCATTTAGAATCACCCCCTGGCTGCTTTAGAATGGCTTCCATAGAGCATGTCCGATAATGTCCTTAAAACAACCTTAAACGTTCTTTTTTAAAAATATGCTACTCACCGGGTCGTCAGCGCTGTTCAATGACGTTCCAAAAAAAGTTTCGTAAAGAAAAAACGTTCCTGTAGTGTTTTATTTAGCATTTTTTAAATCCCATTGAGTTCTGTAGGAATAGTCAATATTCCCCTGCCACCGGAAACGGAAATGGGGCCTGTTTACACAATTGTAGTCTTTTCGCTTCACTCTGTGTACTCCGACGTCGAGGTGCTAACGTCTCTGTTAAACACTTTAAAAAACTCTGAAAATGGAATACGAAAGGTGGATTCTTGATTCTCGACGTCGGAGTACACAGAGTGAAGCGAAAAGACTACAACTGTGTAAACAGGCCCCATTTCCGTTTCCGGTGGCAGGGGAATATTGACTATTCCAACAGAACTCAATGGGATTTACAAAATGCTAAATAAAACACTACAGGAACGTTTTTTCTTTACGAAACTTTTTTTGGAACGTCATTGAACAGCGCTGACGACACGGTGAGTAGCATATTTTTAAAAAAGAACGTTTAAGGTTGTTTTAAGGACATTATCGGACATGCTCTATGGAAGCCATTCTAAAGCAGCCAGGTGGTGATTCTAAATGAGCCAAAAAGCAGAGACAGGAGCAATTGTCAAACTTTTGGTGTCGATCATTCGATTTCATCCTGGACACTACAGAAAATGGGCTTAAAGTGTAAAAAACCGAACTTCTCCTTTAAAGATATAAATACCTGGTGAGGTCTTCTGTAAGCTGTGCCGGATCAGGAGGGTAAAACTTTACATTAAATGTAAACTCATAGACGCCACCTGAAACCTGTTTTCGAATCTCTTTGACAGGTTCCAACCATGTCTAGGGGAGGAAGAACAACCACAGGTCTCAGGTTAGGGTCTTAGTCTCTTTTCTTTTTCTATCATAAATAAAGAAAAAGATGCAGACCTTGCTGGTTGGAGTTTCCCAGATGGCCAGACCGAAGTAATCCTTCTCCAGCAGGTTGACATGGTCACACACTTTCATTAGAAGCTCCTGGCCTTTAGCATGTTTCTATTGGTGTGGACATAACAGGTGTCATCAGTCTGTATAACCATACTAACGGGTAGAGCAATATATAAACATAGGTGGATATAATAAGCCGTTTCTCTTACATCAAGCTCACACTCAAACAGAGTGTCATCCAGTAAGGTGACTTTACATTGCATGGTTTTTGGACGTTTGGGGCCTTTAGCCTCCTCCGTCTTCTTTTCTGTCTTCTTTTCCTTTGAAGGCTTCTCTTTCTTTGCCTGCTCAGTTACTTTTTCTTTCTCTTTAGTCGCCTTCTGCTCTTCTGCTGCTTCCTCTGTTTTTTCAGTAGCCTCCTTTTTCACTTCTTCTGCTTCGGGCTCTTCCTTTATCTCTGATTCCTTTTGCTCTTCTGGAGCGGGCTGGTTAAAGTAACATAAAAAAAACAAGTCAAATACAGTTGAGCATACTTTACAGATGGTGGCAGCAGTAGTTTAACCAACATATCCCAGTTTAACAAATATCTAGCTGTACGGCAGTTTATGGCTACCTGCATGGGTTAACTGGGCTGCAAGCTAAGATTTTAGCTGGAAATTTGCTCAATGAGGAATCCTGATTGTTTCCATGTAAACGCACAAACACATATAAAGCCATGAAATGTGTGGACATAAAAAAAAAAAAGGTGGAAACAAAAAATTTATTTCCTATTTTAACTTTTACCCTTTTATACAATTATTCTCCTAGAAAATCAGCTCAATTACTCACACCCACTTTCACTCAGCATTTGACATTACTAGATCAACAATCTACCGATCACAGATGTTTTAGATATTTGGTGGCAGTAATCAGAGGAAAGAGGGCAATCCTAATTACCTGAGCATCTAACTAGATTTTAAACTATGGGGGAAATCTTTAATGGGTTAATAAAACATCTTTATCAGACGGTCATCCTAGATCTCCATAACACCGCCATCAGAGGAAGAAAAGGATGTTAGTTGATATCTAAGGTTTGGTGCCCCCTTATTGCATTGGCCAGTTATTGTTAAGGTAAACTGAGGGTATAAAAATATGCTGAATCAAGGTGTTGATGTAAACTGTTTTGGTGAAAATATCAAAACCTGCAGTTCGAAGCCGCCTCCATGAAGTGCCTTCCTTTTTCTAGGTATTGTCAATGATTTGCTTATAAATTAGATAAAATAAACCCTTGCATGTCCCACTGGAGCTCAGTGTGACATGCCTGTGCTCTTCTTTTGTCTCACCTGAGTCTCAGCGCTGCTTACTGACTGCTGATCTGCAGCCTGTTCAGTGTCCGGCTCAATTTTTAGTTCTGGTTCTGGAGCTGCAATCGGTGCTTTAACCTGTTCTTTACTTGGCTTTAATTCCTCCTTATCCTCCTTCTTTCCTTTGCTCTTTCCCTTCTCCTTTTTCTTTCCCTTTTCCTCCTCTTTCTGCTGATTTTCCTCAGACTTTTCCTCTTCTTTCTCAGTGTTCTCCAATTGTTTTGCTTTTTCCTCTTGTTTCTCCTCTTTTGGTTTTTCCTCTTCCTTCTTTTTTGCCTTTTCCTCTTTAGTGTTTTCCTCCTCCTTTTTCGTCTTGTCTTCTTTAATTTTTTCCTCTTTAGTGTTTTCCTCCTCCTTTTTTGTCTTGTCTTCTTTAGCTTTTTCCTCCTTAGCTTTTTCCTCCTCTCTCTTTTTGGCCTTTTCCTCCTCTCTTTTTTTCAACTTTTCAGCCTCTCTGGCTTTTTCTTCTTCTCTTTTCTTTGCCTTCTCCTCTTCTCTCTTTTTTATCCTCTCTTCTTCTTCTGCCTTTCTTTTAGCTTTTTCCTCCTCCTTTTTCTTCAGCTTTTCTTCCTTCTCTTTTTTTTTTGCCTCCTTCTTGTCAACCTTTCCTCCTTCTTTCTTTCCGGCCTCCGCTCCTTTGTCTTTAACCTCAGATGTCTGTTTCTTTTCTTCTTCTTTTGCCTCTGGTTTTGCTTCTTCTTTTTCTACAGCTGTCTTCACCTTTTCCTCCTTTGGCTCCTCATGCTTCTCTGACTTTTCTTCCTCTTTTTTTGTCTCGTCCTTTTTCACTTTGCCTTCATCCTTTTCCTCTGCTTTCTTCTTTGCTTCTTTCTTTTTCTTTTTACTGCCTTTCTTCTCAACCTTTTCTTCCACTTTCTTTACCTCCTGTTTTTGTTCACTTTTTTCTTCTTCTTTCTTTTTAACTTCTTTGGTTTCTGATTTTTCCTCCACTGCTTTAGACTCCTTGTCTTCACTCTTCACCTCTTCCACCTTCTCTTCTTCGGTGTTGTCAGCTTTCTCTTTGTCTGCCTTTTCGTCGCTCTCTTTCTCAGCCTCAAAGCCTTCGCCTTCCGAGCACTGAGAGCGCCGTTTGAGGAAAGAGGAGAAGAGGCGTGAAAGGCCTTTGCCGGCAGAGGTTCTGGTACGAGGCTTCAGCTGCTCCTCCTCAGGGGAGGTAGCCCCAGACGCAGGCCCGGGCTCAGCAGTCGGTTCCTGGGCCTTTTTGCTTGGCTGCTCGGCCTCCTGCTCAGACGCGGCCGCCTCTTGCTGCACAGCTTCAGGTTGAGGTTCTGGCGGAGCGTGGCTGCTCTTCTTGCCCTCGGTATCAGCCTCGTTCACAGCGCTTGCCTCTGTCGTCATGGTAGCCACTGGAAAGGAGAACGAAGGGGAGTCAGAGATGGAGAAAGGTCACAGTGCAGCACAGTGTACAGTGACATGACTCTGCATGGTGATTCATGAGGGGCAACAAACCGTAGGAAGAAACCGTACATGAAAAATGTTCTGAATAGAGATGCAACATGTATGTGGTAGAAGCTAGCAGATTCCACTAAAAATACTCTTTGGTCTAAGAGTTGCTATTTAGTGAGAAAGACTGATAGTTAAATATTTCTAATATCTTGAATTAAGCTAAATAAATCACCTAATTTAATTCAAAAGCATCTTGGCGGCTGCTTCAGGTCTTTGCGGCATGACTTCAGCAGATAACAGAAAGCTTCTTGTGACAACAAAGCAGTACCGTTTTGAAGCTGTGTAACAAAGACTGCTCTCTCTCTCTCTCTCACACACACACACACAGGGATGTTATTTCTTCTAACCCTAATTAATGATTGATTGGACCTCCAGCTACAAATTAGTGAATGTGCGGTCCGAGTCAAACGTAAGAGAAATCAAAGCTTTTCCTGTCATAAAAGGATTTTTCCCAGAATAAAATAAATTTCGTTGAGTACGGTATAAATTATATTGCAGAAAGATTTTGTGCAGTACATGCCGCACTTTTAACTATGTTAAAGTAAAGAAAGGAAAATTAGACAAAGATATGTCTCATAAAGAAGATCTAACAGTTAGGTTTATTTGCTATCTATATTCCATAGCCGGGAATATTTTTTTCAGGAACCAGAATAACTTTTAAGTCTCAATATTTTTTGTTCTTCAGAATTCAACAGAAATCTGAATCCACTGAAATCCCCAGCAGCAGCCTTAAGCACTGTGCATCAATGACTGGGTATCTGCAAAAGTAGAAACCTCCAGAACGAACAAGGACTCGGCTACATTTATATTGTGATGTATGGATATACATCTTTACATTTTTTGGACTAACACAGCTTTGCACAGCAGATGAGCAATATCTTTACAAAACATCTGGTAAAGACCTAATCATCCTTCTACTAATTTGAAGTTTTAATGTAGTAGTTATGAATCTGCAGCTGTATGCTACAAACGGCTCATGTATTGCACCATAATAACAACTCTGGTTCATCCTTCCACTGCAGAAGTGTTGTTTAAAACTTCAGGGTTCTTTGATCAGAAACAAGCAGCTTTACCAACAAACTTCTGGGAAAGTCCTGGACTGACTTTGGATCCGTTATTTCATACACATTGTCATGTTATGCTCTTCTACTTAGATTTTTAACAAATAATCCATTTTCCAACCCAGAAAACAAAATATGCCAATATATAGTTGCCATATTGCTTCAATATAATGCATAACTTGATTTAAATGGATAAAATCTTGTATTTTCATTATTTTGGTTTTATTCACTATAGGGCTGAAACAATTAATACAATTAATCATGATTATTAGAGACTTAGAGAAGTAATTATACCAAGATTGTAAAAATAAAAAAAAAATAAAAAAATATGAGATAATTTTGAATTTAAGATTTTAAAAAAAGTTTTCATCTGCCAATAAGCCCTATCCAGAACTCCTCCAGTGGAAAACTTTTAGTATCACCCGGTTCAATCAATTTCATAAAAGGTCTTCTTTAAGGAACCTTCTGCAATGTGATTAATCAAAACATAAATGACAGATTAATCGATTTGCAAAATAATCGTTAGTTGCAGCCCAAGTAGACTGATTAGATCAGTTGACACTTTTATAATATGACAGGTTTTGACCCCTGATCAAAAATATAACCTAGCAACCTACTGTTTGTATGCCTAATTTCAAATATAAATACAAAGAAAAGCAGGCAAGAAAAAAAAAACATCCTAAAGAACGACTTCTACAGAATCTAAAAAATTAAAGATTAAAAGACATTTTACAAACATCGAAAAAAAATGCAAATAGTGGCTCACACAACTTATTTATAAGGCACCAGATAGAAATGTGATCAAATTCTTAAAATGAATTGTCTAATTGCTGCTACATCCTCTCTAAATGATTTGTCTTCATCATGAATTTAACAAACACGCTCCTCAAAATGTGGAAACCAAGAGAACTTTACAATCACAAAGTTTGTTGATATCAACACGAATATGTCAGAAAAAGGCTGTTAGAAAAATCAGCACTTTGCTAACCTTGTTTGTATCAACAGTAGGAGCAAAAACAAGAAAATCTCCAAAGCTCACATTGGATAACTGCAGGAATCTCTTCAATTAGAGATCACCTTGCATATTGAAGATTAATTAATTAAAGTATTTTTTTTTAATCAAGGATTCATATTGGATCAGAAACTCCAGAATAATTGATCATTTCCAAAATGTAAAGCAGGACCTCCCTGATGATCTATGTAACTATTGAAATGACACTTACAGCCTTTTCCAAACCTCATTAGAAACTTCTTTTTCTCTGAGCCGCAGTTTACAATTTAACAAAGAAACAAACACAACCATCCGCTCATCCCACAAAAGACCTCCTTGTTGGAGACTGAGCCAACATGGAGTTCTGAGAGGGACTCATTAAATCGCTCCAACACAAAGGGGGCATTCTGCTCTGGATCTGCCCATTAGCGCAGCCTGGGTCATCCACAGCAGGCCTCCCGGCCCTTCGTGTCGCACACGCCCATTTGGATCGGGTCAACAAATAATGTGGGACTGGGGAACCCGATGATACATCTGAAGAACAATGATATATAAGCAGTGTATATCATCATAGATGACTCTGGTTTTCCTTCACATTTAAATGTTTCAGATCAAGCTATCCTTTTTTTTTGGTAAATTATAATTTCACTTTATCAAATTAAGAGTAGTGACTTCAGTAATTCTCCGAACCGCTGCTAGAACAGTTTACGATAGGCATTTGTGATCATGGGAAATTTGTCATATTCAAACACTGTAAGGATTTGGATCCTATCTTTATTACAGTTACTCTTTTAACTCAACACCACCAAATAATTTAAGAACACGAAGAGCCTGTTTAAGACCTTGCCTTTCAGATGTGGAATCCTGTTGGTTTTTGCATAATTATCCTGCTGTTAAAAGTGCTAAAGGTTTAAGGTAAAAAATTGAAAGACAGATGGACATTCTGTTTCAGGATTTGTTTAGTTAGAGCAACACTGTAAACCTTTTAGCCATGAAGGAGCGCTACATTGGTCATTTAAGGGTTAGCAGTCTTGAAATCAACTGGAAACACTGTGTTAGAATCTAATAGCCGATCATGTTGGAGCAGCAGATTGAGAAGACATGGACTTACTGTAAAGAAGAGGCCTAATTCAATCAAAAGATCTGATCAGTTAAGAGTCATATCTGCTATGTTTCCTAACAAAAACTTTTATCTTAGTTAGCTCTGGTGTTTATGGAAGCTCAGACTGGCTCACATCCCCCATTCAATTCAGAAACATTATCAATCCAAAAAGGGACATTCAGTGAGGGATCCAACTCTCTCAGTTTGTGAGGAGCAGCTGCACACAGCATTGATTTGTGCCAAGTTCTGTATATTGGCTTAAATAATCCATTGATGTCTTAAAATAAGCTAATTGGTTACTTGGGTCAAAAAGTTACACTGTGTTGCTTTAAGGATAAAATTTATCATCCATCATTTTACAGCTTCTGAGGCAGTGAAGCAGCCCCAGATCATCACACTACCTTCACCGTATTTGACTATCAGAATGATTCTCTTCTTTTGAAGAGATGTGATAACTATCCTCCAGTCCACAAAACAGTCTCCCAAAGGTCTTAGAAATAATTAAAATACTGTTTTGTCTTTTTAAAAGGCCTTTTACTGAAAACTAGTCTTTACTGAGGTCTGTCTGCAGCACTTTTAATTAGGCTTGTTCCGATCCACATATCGGATCGGGACGCCGATATTGGCAAAAAAAATGCGTATCGGCAAAGCATGTAAAATGCCGATCCAGACTGCCGATCCAGTTTTTAAAAAAAAATCCGTATTTTCCAGTTTCGCCGATTGAAACGATCCATTCTACTATTTTGCGCCAGTGTTTCCCTGTTTTACATTTTTATTGAAACTTACAGTAATACTTGCACCTTTAACTGTTTACGGTTTTACTGTTCACTGTGCAATTTCAGATTGCTATTCATAATTTTGTCCAGTTTGTGTTTATCTCTTAATAAACAGGTAAGTTTGTTGTTACCAAACATTGTGTTTTATTCAATCTCACCTAATTTAGCTGGCTAGATGTTATCAAGAGTACTAAAACCCTTTTCAATATGAGTCTTACAACTAAGGCTAAATACTTTAACTTAAACTTAAATACATGCTCGGATAGGTTGGTATCGGCCAGTATCGGTGTCGGATCGGAAGTCCAAAAACAACATCGGTATCGGATCGGAAGTGCAAAAACCTGGATCAGGACATCTCTACTTTTAATGTCTTTCATGTTTTTTTTTTAATCCTGTTCTTAATTTGTAGATGATGGATCTTAGGATTTCCAGATTCTTAGGCTGTTTAACTCTTCCCAAACTGATAGATGTTAGTGGATTTTAACAATAATCATGAATTTCTTAAGTTGCGGGACGATGAGTATTATTTTGAAACGATAAGATTACCAAACAGGTCTGGACATAAAGAAGCTTAACCTTAAGCTTTACCCAAAAAATATGGAAGAGTTCTTTTTCACAAAGAACTCACGTTTTGAAATAAATTTTCCTTTAATGAAGCATGTCCACATATATAAAGTTTTTTTAATTTACTCTGGTTCTTTTTGTAAAATATTAAAGTTAATAATGATCTGAAAAGTAAAGAATGAAAGAACAAACAGGAATATAAGCAGAACTTTTTTTTTCAGATTCATAAAAATGAGTCAGACTTGGCTTATTTAGGAACTCACTGAGGCTGATATTAAGTGATCTTCCTGGGATACATATCAGTTATAGGGTCTCACTTTACAATTGATTCACTTTGATACGACAGACATTCATCTTGTCTGGAAACGGACTAACTGGTGACTAATGGGGGAGGGGTTGGCAGACGAGTCCGATGCTCCAGATGTACAGGGCCGCCCATAAGGGTGCATCCCGGATCTCAGTGCCATACACTTCCCACTGGCACTCCAGGACAGGAGGAGGAGGGGGCACACAAACAGACAAAATCCTCTTTAGCCCTCCCATTGTGTGCGTCCAGTGACCAATAATTGTGTTGCACTCTATTCCTAATCCACTTTTCCCTTCCCCCAACCGGACCCCCACCACCACCACACCACCTCCGCTCCATAGGTCTATTCCCTTGGTCACCAAGCACGCAGATGCACACACCTTCATGCATCAATGCCCACGGCCTCCTCCTTAATGCTCCGTCATCTCAATTCTGATTGTCAGGAAACAGACACGCTCTTAATGGACCAGCTGAGCGTTGGGTCTGCTGCCGCCTCCATTTTGTGCTAGCCCATCTAACATCTCTGCCATCAGCCAGCTGAGCAGGGCCGACCTGCGTCAGGACCAAAGATAGGCGGCGGCAGCGCAGGGTCTCCCTATACGCCATCAGTCTCTAGTAATGTGACAGATAACCCCTAGAAGCGAGGAATGGTAATGTAATATCATTATCTTCTAAGAAAAAATGACTGACCTCAATAGCACACAATTAGAGCCTGTAATAAGATGAATTATAAATAAAGTAGGCCACCCTCTGAGCACACAGAGAGCTGCATGATCAGGTGCACAGGGATATGGTTTTTGGTTAACACTTATTTTAACTCTTTTAAATGGCAGGATATGAATCCAAAAAAATAACTAAATAAAAAGGGAATTGGGAGAATGAAGCTGTGAGGTAAGAAAACATAAAGATAAAGAGAAAAATGCATGTAAGGACTAAAAGATACAAATCCATAAATCATGGACTGTAAAAATTAAAAAAAAAATAGAAAAAAGAAGTTTAAATACACACACACACACACATATATATATATATATATATATATATATATATATATATATATATATCAGAATATTAAAGTAGCTTAAGTTGGTAAATAAATCCAGAAAAACTGTCTTGATCTCATTTACACCCTGTGCATCAAAACCAGAGGCGGGGCAGGAAGAGGAGCTCGCAAAGAAGCTGGAGGAGGTAACAGTTTATAAATAGCTACATGAGCGCAAGATGCTGCCACTCATTAGTAGGCCCAGCTCATATCTATTTTTGTTCATGCTTTGCTTCACAACACGCATCTGCACATGTGCAAACATGTGTGCACAGAGGCAAGCTCTGTCATGTCACTATATCTGCATCTGAAAAGGATCAATCTATTTTTGAACACTTCCACAACCCTTTCCTTTGATAACCTGGACACGTTTTCAAATGAGTGATCCAAAAGGTGTTTCATATGAGTGAACATAAAGAAAGCATGTTTCCTGGACACCGAGAGCAGGCTTAAGGAATTAGAAGGAGTTTAGAGTTAATCAGCCCACAAGTGACCAAGTGAGATTATCTTCTTCTACCTGCCTCCAATATCCATCTCACTGTCTCTACTAACTCTGTCTCTGCGAGTGTGTAGAGGTGGAGATGGTGATACACTTTGCTGAATCATGGTTTTACAGGGAGCCTCATCTCATCTTTGAAAAAAAAAAAACACAACCTAACAAAGAATTTTAAAAATCAGTAGAAATGTAACTACTGGCTAAGATGTCAGCTCTTGAGCCACTTCTAGTGAGCACAGAAGCCTGTGGATGACGGTTAGCTCTGCAGTACTGGTGGCATATTCTGTCAACACACAAGACTGATCTGCAACATCAGGGCTAAACTTATTTATCCACAAGAAAAAGTTCTGGGTTGAAGCAACGCTAGATATTTAATGTCGATTTGTGGTGCAGGATCTGTAGAAAACTGTAGATGGATAAACCAAGAAATTATAACAAAAAAAAAACAAATAATTTTTCGTCGTGTAATAATCAATACAAATTCATCTTTTTTGTGAAAGAATTGTTGCATTTTTTAGGAATTAATGGAGTCAAAAAAGCTTAAAAAGGAAAGATACACTGATCAAATTTTTACTAATTAATAGAGTTCTTTTTGCAAGATTTTAATTCATTAAAAAAAATTTAAGGAATTAAACATTAGCCATACTTACGCATTTAAATAACAATAAAATATCTATGTCCTTTATCTTATTTAAATTGAGCTTGAAAAATAAATAATAATAATAAAAATAATGGAACTTTTTTTATCTCACAATGGAGAAATTAACTCTCTGCATTTAACCCATCCCCTTGCGGAGCAGTGAGCTGCCATCATGGGGCGCCCGGGGAGCAGTGTGGGGTTAAGGGTCTTGCTCAGAGACCCAGAGTAGCATTCTGTGGGAGTGGGGCTCAAACTCACAACCTCAGGATTCCAAGCTCAATGCCCTAACCACTGGCTGCCACACCCCTGCAAAAATGTAAATATGAAAAATGTTTCATAGTATATGGTCTTGGATATTGGATTTTAGGTCAAATCATGATATTTATTCCTGATTACAGTCATCTTTTTTATTACTTGACTAGCTGA